CCAACCTTATTGTGTTTAGGTCATGAGTATGAGGTATTCTAAGTACCAAGAGCTTGTTTCTAAGGCTTACCAAGGTACTGAGTTGTAGACATTTTTTTACAAAAATCATCCCTTATGCCATGAGAGTTACGTTATCTTAAAATAACTCTAGAATCACAAGAATCATTGTTGAGGAAAATAACAATTGAAGACTAAATTTTGACAGCATTAGAAATTTATGAACTGCAAAACTCAATCAATATAAAATGAATATTGAGTAAATATTTTCTTTATAAATTATTCAGAAACATGTTTACGCAAATTCTTGTAGCTTCATCTTGAAAAAAAAACCTCGTGAAGGTCGGTCTGCTCGCAATTCTCAGCTATTCAAGTGAAATATTTAGAAGAACAAGAACTTTAAAAGTAATATTCGATAGATTTAATTTTTTTTTTTAATTTAACTTAAAAAGAAGACAATAACGATTTTCTAAGTTTCATATCTGCTTCCACTCAGTGAAGCATGTTATAAAAAAGCAGAATAAACTTTCTACGCCTTTCATCAGCTATCAATTTACCTCATTTGCACATCGCAAACATTCTTTGTTCCTTAATTTTCCTTAGCTAACGATTGTTTAAAATTAAAAGATTTTTTTTGCGTATATAGTTGAAAAACACCCACATTTGTTGAGTATTGAATATTCATAAGTGACTGAACGAAGCCTCTTTTAAAGGGTAAAAAATGAATTCTTATTTTTTTTTCTATCTTTGTCTTTTTCCACACCTCCAAGCATCAACTATAAATGGTTCTCATGGAAAAGATATGGTAATTTATAAGCAAACCATTCACGGACTCGAAAGTACATTTTGTACAAAATAGCCAGAAGGTGTTCAGCAAAGTGGGAAAATAAAAAAAAAATTTTTTGAAGGAGAGCTCTCACGGACCATAATTGAATTTCTAAGTAAGATTAAAATATTTGCAATAGAGAAAATTATGAGTTGAGTCATTTGCTTCACAAGATGAAGAAGATTAGCATTTAAATAAGTTATGATTGTATGTTACGGACTCTTTGAATTCAATTTGAATATTGAATCAAAGATCGTCTTCGGTAAGTTGCCTTGGATACTTCCTAAAGCCGAAATCGTAGTACATTTTAAACCTGTCATAATGGTGCTCCTGATAGGTTTTTAAACAGAGCACCGAGATAGAAAAGGAGTATAATAAATCAGAAGAGTTAAGGTTCATTATGAGTTTGTCTGATATATCTTGAACCTGTTGATCTTTTCTCTAGTAGATTTTAAATCAGTTGTCCATCAGAGTATGAATAAAAAAACAAGTTAAATTTACATTACAACCATTCATAATTAATCCACCAACGGCATTGCTTCATAGTATATACTAATGTCAATGAACATCAAGTGAAAATGAAATATCAAAAAAGTTTTAATTCCTTCTTGATATTATGAAAAAAATGTGTTTACATTCACTCAATGATGCTGTTTACTTGGAAAAATTTCATGACACACAAAAAGAAAAATCTGCAAGTATAAGCAAAGAAAATTGTAAGGAATGGAAACATTCGTATCTACAATGTGGAAAAAATTTATCAACTTTCAACAAAAACAGACTCTTTTGGAATTGGAGATATGAAAAAAATTCTTCTACCTCAAGAGAATTGTCATTGGTTAACTTGGTGATTAAATTAATATTTCTTTAAATCTACGAGAATTCCACTGAGATTGATATTTTATTTATATAACTTAATTAGAAAAATAATTTGCTGTTCTTCAAATATTAACATTGTGCCGATTGAAAAGGTCATTAATTCAGTTACTAAGCATTACCATGGTTCTTACCAAACAGGTCATCTCCCACGTAACCAAAATCCCGTAAATGGATGATACATGTAATACACGAAAATAGTCCATGTAAAGTCCATACGTATCATCCATGGATAATCCATGGAATGATATTGTCCTATGAAGATGGACGATATTTGGGAAGATATTGAGTATTACTTCTGTATTACATTGAAGTGTAACATATGTAGTACATTTAAGTACCACTTATGTATCACTTCCCACGTAACCAAATTACCTTAGATGGATAATACATGTAATACATGAAAATCTTCCATGTATAGTACATGCGGATCACCCATGTATGAAACATGGAAGAATTTAGGAACGTTCCATGTATAGTACATTGATGTAAAACATTTGTACTATTTTGTGTACTATAAATGGATTGAAACGCCTGAAACAAAAAATGCTGGATTTTCATTAATTAATGCACATATTTATAATTATAGTTTCACTAATATATGTGAAACACTTTATTTATTAAAAAATAACATAATTTAATACTCACAACAATCAAAAAGGCCTATTTAAACATAGAAAAAACTTATCATTATAACTCTATATAACTACATTTTGAACTATATTTTTGAAAATATAATTAATTTGCTGAAAAATTGTAAATTTGTAATTAAATTTGCCTGAAATATATACCTAAAAATAAACAAAAAAGACAATGATTAAAATATTAGATAGATGTTAAAACATCGTAGACATTTTACACTTTAAAAATTAATATTTTATTCTTACCTTACCAATTGATTTTCTACTTTATTCCCTATGATTACTCACCAATCAACATTTCTTGCTCCATTTAATTATCAATTATTTTCACATTTAAATTGTGAGTTTAAATTATATTTTCACTTCACAACAAGTTTCAAAACACATTTTTCACAATATAAACAAATAATTTTAAAAAATAAAATGCAGCAAAAATGTTCTTAATTGTCTGAATGGCCAGATTTTTAAAGTGCTACATAGATGTATTACTCATGGACTATACATGGTTATTCCATGTATGTAATACATAAATTATACATGATGTACTGTTTCGGGGAAAGTACATAAATATTCCATCTATGTCAATGGAAAATGTGTGGAATACTTTGGTTACGTGGGCTGTTAACGTTTTATTGCATTGACATTTGATACTTAGCAACATTCCAAGATTATCTTTTGTGGGCTTTTTATATTTTTAATGTTTTGTAAATCATCCATGTGAAAATTCGAGAATAAAAAAAATTGATAATACTTATGGGTCGTTAACTTATAAACCTAATTTAATAATATAAAATGCTATAAACAACACTTCTGCAAGATATTTTCTTATAATTAATAATATCTTATAATTGAGGTAATAAATAATTTACTTTTTCATATCAAATTGCTTTTAACCTTTTAATGAAGCTGTTTATATTAGAACAATGGCGAAAATATATCATGAAAGCTACACGTGCACCTCCATTATTTCATCGGATAGTAAATAAACAAAGAGATTTAATGTTTTTTTGGTTAAAAAATTCAAAAGGCTGTTGTTAAAGTAAAGTCGACTAATTAGTATTTTTTATGACAAACGGATTTTATAATGTCTTCTGCTTAGAAGTGACTACCTACTCAATAATAATAAATAATAATGGGTCCAGCCTTTCAGCTAGAGGCACTACGATTCAAATTAGAACAGAATTTATTGTACCACACCCTTTAGACCTACAGTTTAAAGTGGGATCCGAACAACTTGCAAGCTCTGCACATTGCAAAGACACGAGTACGTCATAAGACCTGATGTACCCTGCAATTTACCTAGTCACAATTCGTGTGCGCAAGATGCCGTAACGAGTCATCCAGATGATGTATGTATATCTTTGTATACCTAGCAAAGGAGGCATATTCTGTGCCAAAGATCTCAAAACTACACTCAACACATGAACCGAGCTTCGTAACTAGAACGTTGAAGTGGAAAAAGAGCTTCGAAAACTTGACTTTGCCTGGAATCGAACCCAGTATCTTTGGCACGAAAAGCCAACGCTCTATCATTTAGGCTACTGATGCCATTCCACCGCTTACTACCTACTCACTATAAACAAATTTTTACGATATCTTCCTTCCCATGATGACTAGTATCACCTTGAACACAAAGATAGCAACGTATTTTAGGGTTTTATTTGTGGAAGTAGTTAAAACTCATCTCGTTGGCTGGTCCTAATGATTGAATAAATTTTTATAAACTTTATGTGGCGTTCCAATCGATTTTTTACTTCAATTAGTAGCCAGGGTTTGAAAAAGAGTCATGTATGAATTAGAGTCATCATACTCAGACATGAGAAATAAATGCGAGTGTCACTATCCTTATTGCTTGCTAAAAATAAGATTTATTATTCAAAGACACTGAGATGAACACCCCCCCAACTATAATAGAATCATTAAAATAATCTGGCAGCATTGTTAACCACAACAGTAATTATTCACATACTATGCTGTTCCATAATGAGAAATTAGATGATAAAGAACTTGTTTAATCATTGTGCTACGCATTAAGACAAAGGTTAACGACTTTATTAATTTTTTCGGTCTCTTTAATTGCTGGAATTCGGATGAAATTTCTATTACAATTGAGAGCATCTTGATATAAGCTGCTTTTTTTTTTTTGGTCCAATTAGGATTACTTGCTATGGAATATGATATTTTCGTGAAAAATCTCATTAATTAGGAAGTTGCTCTTTAAAGGAACATCAATAAAGTTTAAATTTTCTAATAGTTTTTGTGTTAATCTTCTTAAACATGCTCAAAACCCACATCAACTTTTATCTTTTGTCTAAAACATTATTTGAAGTGTGTGGGAAATAGCCAAAAGGGTTGATTTAAATGTCTGCAAAGCTACAAAATTTGATTTTCGAAGTTTAGTGTGAATATTTAAAATCGGAAGAACTTTTCAGGTTTGTTTTTGTTAAAGTTTCTTGGTTAAGATAATATTGATAGGAATTGTCTAATACAATGAATAAAGCAAAATGCGCACTCGTCATTGGAATTTTTGTAAAATTCCTTAAAACACCTCATATCATTTCGCACCTATAGCACAACTATCCCACATCACTGCAATAATTTAAAACGCTTGATGTTTTTTTTTTCAATGTTTATAATATTAACTCAATTTCTATTTTTAGATGTCAAAATAAACACACACAAAAAATGTATATCACGGCGATTTCATCACAACTTGAGTACCTTGCTTTACTGACTCAATTGTATCAGCTGTCATTTTATGTGGGCCATTAACATATTTACAAATTGTGTATTAAAAGGAATAGTTGCAAAATAGTGAAAATGAGAATCTAAAAAGTGAATAAAGACAAAAAAGTGAATGAAAATTTAGTTCCTTTTGCTTAAAAGATCATGATGGACTATGTGATAAGTTTGAATACAATAGCATCGTCATCATATATAGACGAAGATAGTGCAAGTTTAATAATAACTGATCAAAATAGTAATACATTAAGTAGATTTGACGAGTCATTTAGATTAAATAATTACACATCAATGGAGGATGAATTAGGTGTAATGTCTTATGGACCAGATTCAGTTAATAATTTATCAACCATGTCAAATCATACAAAGCATGATGCCGGATATCGTGATTCGTTATCAATTATTCTGCCCATAACCATATGCTACCTTATCATATTCATTGCTGGAGTTTTAGGCAATGTTATTACATGTATTGTGATTGCTAAAAATAAGACGATGCACACAGCAACAAATTATTATCTCTTCAACTTAGCTGTTTCAGATTTTCTTGTTCTGATGTTCGGTGAGTCTATTTTATTTATTTTCTCCAATTTCTTATAATCAACCAATCGTTATCAATCAGCATCATAATTTATATGCTGTTGAAGGCTCGTTAATAATCATCAATATCAATAAGATTTAAGAAGATTTATGAAGTCTTCAGATTGTGGATTTTTAAACTTTTTTTTTTTGGGGGACATAAAATAATCTAGAATAATGTGCTTAACATTCAAAGTAACGCATGGGAAAATTATTTCCGAGAAGAAACTGAGGTGGAAAAAAGTTTATAAAATTTTCATATGAATGGTTTTTTGAATTTTATTATCAAATTCATGGACATTACTGATCGTATCCTCAAGGGATTTTAAAGTCTTAACAATGTCAAGATTTCCTTATATTTGATCTTAACGAGATTCTATTTGTCACATTCTCTTGATAGAAGAAGAGCTATAAGACTTTTAATGCGGTTTTATAAGATAATCTCAAACTGATGGAAGTCTGTGAAAAATCTTGTAATTTTTGATCAGCTTTTATTATGTTTTAATGAATTTATTTCTCGAAAGACAATTTATTCTGAGAATTCTTTGTTCTAACATTTTGTTATAGGAATTTGTTAATGAATAAAAACACCTACCTTCTATCATCTGGGGATAATCTACAGCATGTGCGCTTACTGCTTTCACGCTTGGAAGTAAGAAGCTCTAAGTTAAGTCTAAGATTAATCTGCAATTTGAAGTTTAGAAGCAACCTTTTTGCTAATTTTTGCAAGCTCACTTACTCAAATGGATATAAACTCGATCAAATTTACCATAGAATACAAAAGAGGCTTTTTCAAAAAAGGATTTTGTCCTTCTTGAAATTGTAGTAATTTTTGGAACAATTACAACCTAAATTGAAGGTGTATATAACCTTGCACCTCCACTGAACAGTTAGCATGCGTTATAATCAATGCCTTGACTCGCATCGATACGAGCACAAAGGTTTTGGATACTTTACAAAATCAAGCAGGTATGCTTTGCTTTTGATGACAAAGTTTTCTGATTTATATCACAGTAGAGGCAAATTTTCTGAATACATTTATACTTTTTTTTTTGTATCAGCTATAATGCAAAACACCAAAGTTTCTAAATGGGTAAATTTACAAAGCAAAAAAAAGTAAACTTTTTTAAGAGGTTGTTCTTGAAAAATAAGGACATTATGGAGATATTATTGCAAAACATGTAGATGTTCAAATAGAAACTCATGTGCGATAAAAGCTTTCAAATATTTATTTATGAAATTTTTATGAGCATGGTGCAAACTTTTTGACATGTGACATTCTTTTCTTGGGGATAAAATTTCATAACTTTCAGAGTAAAATATCATTTATTTCTATTTATTACAATGCAGGATTTAGAGACATTTGAGCCATCAGAATATCCTGGAATTAAATAGAGACAAAATCATTTAAATTTTAATGGGAATAAAATGGATTTCTGAGAATTTCACAGCTCGAAACTTTGGAATGACGGTTTTAATGAGATAATATCATTTGAGGAAGACCAAGTTTTTAATACACAAACTTTCTCCTCAAAAAATAACCTAAAGCAATTTTTAAACTTCGCATTCTAAGCTATTTCTCGCCGTAATTTCCCGAAGGATATCAGCAATTATCTTATTGTTTACTTTCATTTCTGTACGGAAATTCAGCAGTTTATAATTACTTTTCGTATCACAGTTCCGATTTTTTGTAAAAATGACAAGCTGTGCAGAAACATAACGCATGTATTTTAGTGACGTAGACAGTTGTGAAGAGCTTAGAATTTAAGCTTCAGAATATTTTTTAATTAAAAAGTTTTTCGAGGAATTATAACGATTGTCAATCTTGAATAGAATCATTTACAAGCGACATTATAATGTTGGGCTATTTGATTCCCATGAAACATACCTGAATACGCAAAAATCTTCCTTGTTCATAAACATCTAATCGATATTAAATCGGAAACTCGTCTCAAAAGCTTTCAATTTTCTTTATTAATTTCCCATCAATTCATGCGAAAAAAATGTCAAATAAAGAATCTTTATCGTGTATAAGAATGTCTATGTATAAACATCCTTGTCATAACAAAGTTTTGCTATCATTTTTTTTTTTTTTGGTTGATAAGTAATCCCTCGAAATATTACAGGAAAAAATATCGCCCATATATTTTCTTCCATATACAATTTTGAAGCGAGCTAATTTTAAATTAATTTTAATGATGTTCCTTTTCTTCGAATTATGGATTTATATTTATGATATTCAATACCCGCATATTTTATAGATAATTCAATTTTGATATAATGTTATGTGCTTCATTTCTTTATATAGGCATGCCACCAGATTTATACAACATCTGGTTTCCAGGATCCTATCCATTCAGTGAGATTGTTTGCATCCTTCAAGGACTTTTCTCAGAGACATCATGCAATGCTACAATTTTAACAATTACCTCATTTACATGTGAACGATATATTGCCATTTGCCATCCATTTAGGTAAGTCTGAATTTTATTATTTCCAATTAATTTTAATTTCTGTTAAGGGGTCATTCGCTAATTTTGTCACACTTCAGTCAGGTGGAGGGAGGAGAAGCATTTGTTACAATTTGGACAAATTTTTGTCAAGGGGGAGGAGGGGGGGTGGGGGGTGAATTTACCTTGATCTAAGATCCAATTTTTTGCGTAACAAACTAAATGAACAGCTGCACGTAATTTATAAGAAGTAAATAAAAAATAAATGTTTGTTGCAAGAGCTTTGCTCAAAAATTGCTAAATTACTGCACAGTGCTTTGTTTGATTTATATCCAATTATTTCTGTTGTTTAATTTATTGAAGTTTTCTGCGAAATTAAGCTTTTAGGTATAACCAAAAAATAAAATAAAATTCACGAAAAAGTTGTCGACAAAACTTAAAAAGGTTGCTAGCAAACATATGTTAAGCTTTATACCTGTTTCAATGAGCTTAGAATTTGTAACAATTCTGTTTTTTGTATACTTCAACATTTTTTATTTAAATATCAAAAAGTCATTACAGTGATAAATGAATACGGATCCATCTGCGTACATTCATCTCGCACACAAAACTTCTTTTTCATTTCATTTCTATTGAACAACGAGAAGGATTTTGCTTTTTTACATGCTACATCCCCGTCATACATTCAAGTCCCTTTCATTGTTGTTGAAAATCGTGTTGAGTATTCACAAGCTTTATTATAGTGCATAGGAAGGAAGAAAAAGTTGTATGTATATAAAAAAGAGTAGAAATGAATGGGATTAGACACAATATTTTCCATTTATAAAGAGTGAGATAGGTTGATTGCCAAAAATATTTATTTATACGTAAAATCTCGTAAAGCAGATTAGACCCACATTTTCTTTTTTGCTTATTTAATTTGTACGAAAAAAGTAAGTTTGGTTGACATATAAACATTTCAAAAGTATACTTAAAGTTATAGAAAATATTGAAAATGTCATATATTGAATTTATTGAGTCATCATTTTCATTCAGTCTGGAGGAGAGATGCATACACACTTCAAATGCTTGTGTCAGTCATATACGAATGGTTCTCAATTTGTTCAGGAATCACAATCTTGTTAGAATAAGCCAGTGAATGAACACACAGGGCGACAATAGAACCCGTGTGTCTTCCTTACACTAGTCGATAAGTGAGCATTCAAACTTAGTAATAAATAAGGTTTAAAATCTACAAAGATTTCTTTAAAAATAAAGTTTCTTCAAATAGAAAAGTCCCGACTAGAGCTTCAATACTGATCATAAAACAAGATAGAAGACCCTTAGCATATTTGAAGAATATTCATCCTTTCAATTGTTTTGAAAAATATGTGATTATGTTATTTCCAGAGGTCGAAGCGAACTTGGTTCGCCAAGTTCGCTTCGCTAAAAATTCAACTTGCCAAAGTCGAACTGTAGCGAGAAAAATTTTTTTCTATTCGCCTTAGCGAACCATAGCGAACTCAATTTTATTTTTTTCGCTTTAGCGAACTATTAGCGAACTTAATTTTTCAAAGTTCGCTATAGCGAACTATTGGCGAACTATAATTTTTTGCAATTTTGTATGAAATTACATACTTCACAAACGCAATCAGACATCTCTTAATATGAAGCCAAAAAAATTTTTCTAGTTCGCCAATAGTTCGCTATAGCGAACTTTGAAAAATTAAGTTCGCTAATAGTTCGCTAAAGCGAAAAAAATAAAATTGAGTTCGCTAAAGTTCGCTAAGGCGAAAAGAAAAAAAAATTCTCGCTACAGGTCAACTTTAGCAAGTTGAATTTTTAGCGAAGCGAGCTCGCTAAAAACTCGCTTCGCTATGCTCGCTTCGACCTCTGGTTATTTCTTGTTGGTCCTAGATTCTAGATATTTTTTTACAAATTTATTACTGTATTTAATAATATAAATCCTTGGATATAACATCTTTATTTAAACTAGAACATCATGAAAAATATTAAAATCTTAGATAAATCTTCTGAAACACATTTACTTAATGTAGGAACATCAAAGAAATTTCTACTTTATTCCGTTTCTATAGAATTAGTTCCTTTGTCACGAAGTCAAAATAATCTCAAGAAAAGGATTTAATGCAAATGAGAATTGCTTCATAAAGCATGTTATTTTCACATTTTGACTCATGAAATTTAGGTTTTCGAATGATTTATTCAGCTTGTTAACAAATTCAAGTTTCAATTTGCTAGAGATGTGTTAAGAATAACCAAAAAGCACGTTCTAAAAAAAATATGTATGCCTTTTCCACCGAGTGAGCTTTTTTGACATATCAAGACACAACTTATTATTGTAAGAGAGATTTATGATATCAAAAATATCATGGATGTATTTTTAGGTACAAGATATAATAAAAGTCGATGTGATTTTCATTATGGAATTTTAACGCGTTTTATATCACTAATCAGACTTTAATAAAGAAATCTATGTAGAATTCTTTAAGAATAAGGCGTTTTATTAAAAATAAGACGTACTGGAAATTAAACTGAACAAATATTGTAAATCTGTTGCGGTAAGAAATGTAAATTCTATTTCCAAATCTTTATGAATGTAGATTCCATATTTGAGAATTCAGAAGCAAAACCAAATGTCAAATATTCTTGAATAATTTGAGAACTTTCGATACAATTGCTTCAAGGCTGTCTGTCAACACTTGAGATTCATAATAATAGAAAGACTTTAAATTTATAATAAATTGAATCAATATCACAGATAATAATGAGATTATTCACGTGGAAAACTTTACACTCTGGTAAATTCATCACATTTAATCTTTGATTATATCCAGTGATGTTTAGATATTTTTGGAAGTGTTGCTTTTATGATTTTTGATAAAGCATAGACTATGATAATCAGTAGATCAGTCAAAATAATTTTAAATAGCATGAAATAAAAATAACTTTCAACTTAATTTGTATGATTTGTGCCTGAAACTTCAGATTAGTAGGATGAATGACTTCATTCCTAGGCTCACAACTGTTTTTTTCCTAATAAAATTCAAGTCTGTTGCCACAAGACTTTGTAAGCTGCATTAATTGTTTATTTGATTCAAAAAAGTCTGTGACTTTAAATGCTAAAACGACGACAAAGTTTTCATGTGCCAGCTTCAGCCAAAAATTTGAAGCAATTAAAATTTAATTGTAAATTTTTCATGCACAAAATGAAACAACTCCTACGTTTGTATGTATTTTTATTTCAGATTTAACCTGAAGCTTATTTTCTTAATTTGGATATCCAAAGTTTTGATGATAATTTGATGCTGTTCGTTAAAAATAAGAACTTAATCTTAAAATTAAAAGTAATTGATTCAATTGAGATTATTCATAGGCATCACACCAAGGGTGCTGAATATCTTATTCAATTTTCTAGAAATTAGACTCTGTTCAGCATCGATGGTCCTTAAAACTTGATACTATTTAAATATCATTGATTACATCCCATTAATAAGGAGTCATTCATATATTAAGTTCATTGTAGACTATGAAGTTATCCATAAATATCACACAATATCCAAACAACTCCAAATCTCCAGCAGTATACTTAATAATTTTGGTTTGCTCTAGATTTTAAAAGTAAGTTGTCATCCTGGATGCAATCAGAGACAACTAAAGTTTTGTGGATGTATAATCAATTTTAAAGTTAATTATATTTGGTGTCGGAGGCTTCTCGGCTCCCCTCGGTTTATCAAGGACTAAAATTTAATGAAAATTAATGGATTGAAGAAGTAAGAAAAATTTATTCTAATTTACTTACTTTCATTAACTATGGTCTTGAATATTGCGTGAGCTGGCAGCTCTAAACAAACCACAAGAAAAAGAGCTGCTATGTGGCTACAATATAGAAAATTAATTTCATCGAAAAGTGGATATTGATTCTGAGAATGAAATTTAATTAAATTTTCGGGAAGTCTTACCTTAACGTATACACGATTACAGTAGATGAAAGCAACATTGAATTATTTGACTCAATAGGGAATTTGTTTTTCATGATAATCAGGCAGCTAGAATTGTTAATTCAATATTATTGAATAAAATGGATATGGAGTTATTCACTTATGGTGTCCATCATTTAAAATTGTTGGGATAGAAGTAATGATAAGAGTTGTTGTGCAAGTCACAAGGAAGCCTGATTGCTCAAACAATAAAAAATTGAATGGAATCACTCTGAGCAAGGGTTGTGATATAGGCACCTGTGCACAGGTGAGAACCGTACAATTCCTTGATAATTTATAAGGTTTTATCTAACAAAACCATACAAATTCTAATAAAACCTCACAAATAATTAAGGAATTGTACGGTTCTCACCTGTGCACAGGTGCCTGTATCGCAACCCTGATCTGATCCAACTCAGTTTTAATTCTTCGAATTCAAAATAAATCGATTTCGAGTTCTGCTTTTGATTAAAGTTCACCTGACCTAGACTTGACCTAGACAGCATAAGCTAGTTCATTATCTAAAGTAAATAGCGCAACCAGCTTGAAGAAATTGTTGAAAAAGATAATTTAAAAAGGCAAAATTCAATTACTTTATGGACGTCATAAGTGAATGACTCTTATTTGTAAACTCATTTATTGTAAACTCAACATACCCCATCGTCAAATGAACCATATAAACGGAAAAGGATAATCTTGCCAATATTCTATACATTCCGTAATTGAACATTTTTGGTATCAACCAGCCGTATCGATTAAATATACCGACAAATAATATACCAATTATTGGCCCATAAATATGCTTCAAAAGAGCTCCAAGCAATGCAGACCAAATTCCTAATTTAATATCATATTCATAGAAATAAAATCCAATAAAGCACAAGATGAATGTCAAGAGGTATGAACAGTGCCATAAAACATTCAAAAATGCTGATCGATTGTCAGTTCTTCCATTTGATTGTTTATATTGATAATAGAAATATCCAATTACCAATCCGATTAAATAATTTCCCGTGTTTAAATGTGTTGGCGCGTGAAAGTCATAAAAATATCTGTCATATTCTGGATTTCCCATCAATTGATTTCGCAAGTTTTCTGGCGGCAGCATCAAAATTGGTTCAAGTTGATGAACATAAAAATGGATTACAGCGATGATGAATGAGACAATGATTGATCCAAAAAGAATGAAATTTCTTTTTTTGGGATATCTGTAAGCACAAAAAAAGTGGAAAGAAAAGGTTCAATTGATTGAATTTTTAATAGAAAAATTATCGGTCGTCAAGGGTGAGTTTAAAAGGTTTTGTTTTGCATAATTTTGTGATTAATTGTGGCAATAAATTTGAGAAGAAAAAAATGATTAGCAACTTCTCATGCTATTGTTTATGGTTCCTTAAATTTTCAATCAATTGAGTTGTTCATGAGTAAAAGATGACTGTTCAATTTTATACATGCTCTATTCATCGTCGGGATAAGGATGTATTAAAAAATTGAAAAATATTATTGACCGGATATTAAAATGCTAGAGAATCAGTTAATGCTACAATGAACTCAAACGTCACAATATCAATAATGTCCACATTATTGAGCATGTGGCAGTTCCTTAGCGATCAGACTCTTCTTAAAAATTCAAGATTCAATGGAGAATTAAAAGAACCTAATACTCAGACTCACAAAATAATAATTTAACAAATACTCACTTCATACACATCAACAATAAAGCAGTTCCAATAATGCCTAATTGAAAATCAGTCGCTAAGTACCAAGTATGAATCATACACTTCATATCACCGCCGACATAATTGTTAATCAATAACAAATTAGTCCACATATTCTTTCGACACGACTGCCTTTCATACACTGTAAACTTATCCCAATATGGTCCATCATCAAATCTATGTAGCCATGTAGCATGAAGAAGAACCATAAACAGCAAGACTGGAATAAATCTAATGATTCGATAAATTATTGCTCTTATGAACAGCTTTAATTTTGTAATGCGGTTCTTATCGACATATGACAGTAAAGTTATGCTGTTAAGGAATCCACTGATGAAGAAGAATGTTTGTACAAGGTTACCACCATTAACGACAATCATCGATCTCATGAGATGGTAATTCTGGGAATATGACATTTAAAAATATTATATAATTGACAAATGTGAAAGCTTTCAAGATCAAAAAGGAAATTTTAATGGAAAAAAAATAGCAAACGATAATTAAAATTAATGATTTGGAAGTCTAATTATAAATTTTCTGTGATATTTTTTCTCGTCAGAGACACTTCCGTTAAAAGCGATTGCAGTAAATCATACAAACTCCTACTACATTTTCGCATCTAAATCATCAAAGTATCAATCTTTGTATCGTTTCCAAAAATATCAAAGTTAATTCTACACAAACATTACTTTGCTTAGATTTAGACTTCCAAAAATGACATTACCTTCTCAATAAACAAAGGATTACGCAATGGAGTTGATACTGAAAACCACGTGGCATGTCCATAAACAATCGAGATCATTGTCCATATTCTAATTGCTGAAATTGCTCTTAAATCTCTCAATTCACCTTTTGTTGGTGCTGACAAGATATACCAGTTTCGATACACAGAAAATGACACCATTAGTTGATGAACTGTTTACAAGTTGAGTAAAAATAAACAATGTGTTAATCTGGCGCTTTAAAATTTATTATAAATTATGCAAATTAATGCTAATTTTGATAACTTACACAATGATGATGTCGGTTTTTTATAATAATCAGCTGGTTCCATTTGTATGCCGTTAAATTTCTCATATACGAATCTTAACCTTAAATCGTAGTATGATGAGATGCAAACAATTAAAAGTAGAACTAATAATAAGCATATAAATCCAATGTCAAGTTCATCTATATGAGGATAAGGAAGATAAAAATATGGTTTGGAATTGATTTTAATTTCTAATAAATCAGCTTAAAATTTAAAATTTAGATGAAAAATTTAAAATTCAAATTTGTCAAATTTGTTCAAATTAATTTTTCATTCAATAATAAAATCAACGAAAGTTGTCAATTCAATAATCGTTTTTCATTATTCATTCATAATTTAACATCTTAAGTTCACACAATTTTGGAAATAACATGAAGATTTGAGAATCATAATTCGATGGCTTTTTCCGAACCAACTTGAAATTACTTCAGCACTCATCAAGTTATTCAAATTGAAATTTCCTATTCCAAAAGCACCTCAAAGAGAAATGCTGAATAAATCATGAGTGAATGACTTCATATTATGAAAATGTAAAGTCATTCTCTAAATAATTTATAAAAAAAATTGTACGCATTTGCATTCGACGAATTTTTCGTTCATTTTTACAAGAAGGGGGAAACAACTTAATGAGGAATTCTCAATCAAAATTAGGAATTTCTTATAGCTAACCCCCAAAAATTGTAAATTAAGAATCAATTTTGCGCCAAAATTTCCAAACAAAAGTTTTCTTCATCAAGTTGTTTCCCCCTCTCGAATTTACTACGTTCTTACTCAAGGATGAACTGATTTGCGATATGAAGGTACATAGAATTGCAAAACAGTTTTCTCTTTTCAAGCATATGCCGGCATGAGATTGTAAAATGGAAATTTTCACATAAGCTTGCATGTGACTTGCTGAAAAGCACAAAAAAATGTTGTTTTTATTTTTCGCAGTCTTGTTTTTTATTTTAATCTTGAAAGTAATGTCTAGAACAGATACAAAAGTAGAAGCATAATACACCATTTAAACCTTTGAACTCAAAAAAAATGTGTTGTTCAGTGGTAATGTCTAGAAAATATGGGATTTTTAGAGTCCATCTTACAAGAATGTTTATGTATTGATTACCGTTGATTCTCAAAATAAAAACAAGATATTCATCATTCATGAACAACCCTTGAAAGGATCATTTGAACTTATTGTTTTCAGTCTACCATAAATAACATATGTTCATAATGAAATATTTATGTCCCAAAATCTGAAACTTATAAATGACTGAATCTACCAAATACGACATATTTTGAATTCATTTAGTGACCACAAGCAAAGTCATGCGGAATTTTCCGAAAATTTTCATTTCCCTCAGCACGTCTCTTGGCTTTTAAAACTTTTCTCGAACAAAAACTTTTATTAATACACTGAGCCTTATCTAACTTCTTCTCATACATAGCTATCTTAATTCTTCTTGTTTTGTATTAAAAGATATTAATTTGATTTACACTCGTTTCGCATGATTCTTGCCGAATGTGTCGCTTGTATTTGCTCGGAATATTAATCGGAAAATTATTACCAAATTTATTAGAATCATAAAGTTGTTCGTTGTCCAGAACACCTGCACATGGAGCAATTAACCATCTGAGTCATACATTAAAAATAAACATTAAGCTGGGAAATTCAGAAGAAAATTTATTTTGGCGACTCCAGACATTATTAGGGTTGATGATATATGAAAAAGATAATGGCAAGTAATTGCGCATAGAATTAATTACGCTATTATAGTTTTTTATTGCTAATGGAAATGACTGAGAGTAAAAAAGTCCTCGTTCTTGATTATCGTACAGTTTCAGACTTCCCTTTGCTTTTTGTCGTTAACATAATAATTGAATGGAGTTTATGAGCATGAATTGTGAGTAAATTCATACATTGGATTCTGCCAACTCATCCATTTATGAAAGATTGATGTTGATATGTCTGAAGTGTTGAAAAGCTATTAATGAATTTATCAAAGACTTCTGAATGGCTTAACTTGCAACATAATCTCGTAAATAGATTGTGGCTTTAATAACTGAAAACTTTAAACAAGAGAACTGATTAAAGCCACTAAGATGAACTTAATGTCCTGTTCATTGAAGTTACTAGTTCATGAGAGTTCAAACCTCAACTAAGAAATATTATTTCCCCATAAAAGTAAAACTTAATGAAGCTCAAACAACAAATTGACCTTTTGCTTACTAGATTTCAGTCAAGGCGTGGAAACTATCCCAATTAGCCCATATATCCCAAAAATATTCAAAATAATCCCTGAGCCTATATGCATTAGAATTGAGATATCCCATCATATCCTGAAATTACACGTTCAATACACTAAGGATGCGTTGGGATATCTTTATTATCGTGCATGCTCAGGAATTTTTTAAATATTTTTGGGATATGTGGGACAAATATGATATTTGGGATAGTTTCCACGCCTTGATTTCAGTTTATACTTATAAATAAAAGATCTATTGAAAAATATTTAAAGCCCACATTCCTACAAATTCATTTAAAAATTCCTCAGTTCCAAACCAGGAGAACCATTGAAATTTAAAGTAATTAAAAACAAAAATATTTTCAACATACCCACATCAAACATTGGTTCCTTGTGCCTACAATACTCTATAGAGCTATAAGCAGTAAGATTGTGTTCATTTTTAAGTCTTAAATTGATACATTGGTTTATAATTTCATTATGTGCAGCTTGATCCTTATCATAGTTTGCGAAATTTATAAAATCAAATGTAAGCTGAAATAAAATTAACATAAAATTAGCAAATCATTATAATAATTATGATGAGATGCGTAAGTTACGTTTGCTCCAATGTTATCAAAGTCAGGTTCATAATAATATTCAGCTTCAATGCCTAAGCTTTCAATTAATTCCATACATTTGTTCAGACAAACTCCTCTCGTTAGTCTATCGTGACGAAAATGTTGCTTTTTTCTGCTTGAAAAGTCCGCAATGTATGAGTATGTCTGAGAGTTTATGTCTGGCTTGATGACACTTTTGATGAAACAATATTTTGCGTTTTTTTGATAAACGTCCATGCACTCCTCGTAGTCATCGAACTCATTAAGTTGGGGCATTGCAAAATATTTTCTTGCTATAATGAAAATGACTTTATAATTTAAATATTATGTCCAATTTATTGGATATGTGCTTAACATATTTAAATATTTATAAAAAATTATTATGTTGAATTTGTGCTAATTATAGATCCACAATTCAATGAATGCTTTCCTTTGTTTTTTTTTGGGGAACATCAACTTGAGCATTAATTAATTTTTTGTTATGCTAATTTTTTGTTAAAATATTCTGCCTTTTAAAACATCTTTAAACTATGCATCTTTAAAATCCGGGTCTAGAATGGATGATTGAGGCATCAAGATTCTTGGAACAGTGATGAATTAAGGATTTTTTTCAAATTTGAGTTTAATCCAATCTTGGTTAATCACTTATTACTTCTATTGTTCTTCTACTTCCATTTGATTATATTTGCATGAATCCGATAATGAAAAGATCAAATTTCTATCTATTGAACCTCCAGGCTACACTTCTGTCTTACAATAAATTGAAATTTCTTTTGCACACTTCAATCTGCATGAACAATGAAGCTGTGCTTTTTATTCAAGCTTACAAATCTTTTTTCAATATCTTGTAAATTTGTCTAAGAAGTTTTATTTAGAATTGAGGCGGGCATTAATCTTCTTTTTTATGTGTACATGAGTTTGCCATTCCATTCAGAAGCCACATCAATAGAATTTCTCGTGATTATTTAAACCTCAAGATTCAGGATTCTTTTTTCTTAAGTTCTTGCTGTTTTTCTAAATATCTCTTCTTCACTCCATTTGACTTTATCAACTCAACAAACAAAACTCAATTCCAAAACTATTAAAAACTTTTCAATGATGTTTCTCACCATTAAACTCATATTTTGAAAATATAAATCCAGACGCACTATTTATGACAAAAGTAAAGACAATAAAAGCAAAAATAATCATTTTTATCACAAAAGTCATAAAATTTCTTTTGTTTTGCGTGTTTAAGTCTCGGCTCTTCAACTTTAACTAATCTAGTCTTTGAGTGTCCAACCATTAAACAATATCAACAGTCTCTCGATAAAGCTGAAAATTCGAAATGAATATTTATGAGAAAAAGGCTTATCAATGCTTTGAAATTTTTAAGATTTCAGTATCATTGTTAATCTTGAATGGGACAGATGCAAAAGTCTCGCAAAAAAAATTAAGATTTCAAGTTTGGGTATTTTTAATGGAAAAATCTGTAGAACAAAAAAAAAATGATCTAGAAAAATTGAAGACGTAAAATTATTAAACAAAATTGCCTTTTGGATCTCATCTGGTAGGAACATTTAAAATGAATAATGATGGAAGGATAAAGAATGAAATTACGGTAAAAGAAGATTTTTAAGAAGAATTCCTAATAAGTTGAAACTAAGAAAATTGTTAGGAAATATTTAAACAATAAAGTTTTAAAAGATTTATTGACAAGATTTTGAATGAATTAAAACAAATTTTCCAACTTGTCTTTTATCCGTCAATGTTTAAACTCTTTACATCTAAATTCATGGTTGGCTGGTTTTCAGAGTTGAATTCAAAATAGAGACTTTTAAAAAGGAGAATGCTGCAATTCTTTGATAAGAACTCGAACAATAAAAACTCTTTTTGAAAGGAGAAAAAAAAACTTAATTCATTAAAAAACTAGTTCCGTAGTTCCGTTCACATGACAACATGAGATTTTCATGTCTATCTAAAAATAACACCAAGAACAATAAAATTGTTTGGTGTAAATTTTATTACGTATTATGTTCCACTCTGTTAGATTACAGAAACAAACAAAAATAAGAACTTGTTAACTTTTATTGTTCATCATTGTTGAAGATTTTGTGACTATTTGCATAATATGTAGATTCTATAATAAAATATGTTATCGACAATAAAAAGCTTTGCGTCAATTGATTCTTTTTCTTTATCAATTTATTGTTTTATATTGAATCAAAAATTGGTTTTTAAGGATACTTGAGGTACTTATTAAGGTTCCCATAATTAGGATAAGGTGCGCCAGGGTTGAACCAGAAACAGACTCGATGTTAACTCAATAATTGAAAAACAAGCCTTTATTTATCGATAAATCATTAATCAAACTTCCAATTAGTTTAAAAATTAAATATTACAAAGGAAATCCTTCATTTATATGCGAAACGTTTTCAAATAAGCTTAACATAAAGACAACAGTCTTAAGTTTTGAAACAAAACAATTTTTGAATTTTTAATAAATATTGACGAGACTTTTTGATAGGTTTAGTTGATAAAAAAAACTGGACATTGACACAGATGAATTGGAAAGATAAAAAAATTTGAGCGAAAAATTAAATATTTAAATTCCAGGTAGATATACCGTTGGATAAAATTAATAATCCATTTATTTCAAGTTTTTAAATTGAGATAATCAGAATTTATTGTCATGAAAGAAAAAAACCAAAAACTTTAAATTTGTTGCTTTTGCAGTAAAAAGACTAGCAAACTAGAAATCTGCAAACATTATCCTTAGAATCAAAGATGTGGAACTCATTAGATTGACTAAAAGTGATCAAAACTCAGTCGATTATTTCAATACTGCTGCTTAGCGCCAAAAATCCCTTGATAAAGACAAAATCCTTTCAGCAGCAGTGACATCAGCATTTTAAAACTAAGAAAATGACGCAATTCATAATTTTCAGACTCAACAACAATGACTTTTTATAAACCATCTAAAAATGAAGCTGTAAGCTCAAGAAAATAAAATCAAAAGATGATCCAGATTACATTTTCAGCATTAGGTGTTAAATTGTGTTTATCACATACTTAAACCTACATAAAATGACATTTTGAACAGTCAAAGCAGTCTTTTATATGCTTCCTTGAGCAGTCGTGGGATCTACTTGTCTTACTATCAAAATAAAATACATTACCGTACAAATACTCTATGACACTCTTAAGATTCTGAACTTTATTCGCTTGCATTACAAACTTATTTTAAGCTTAGATTTGAATTTATTGATTTTATTCATAGATGAACCTTGTTATTTTACTGACATAAACATAGAATCGAATAAAATCTCTTTGGAAAGCTTACAGGCTCAAGTCTAGGTATTATATTTGTTTGTGGATTCATTTTCTTTGTTGTTAAAACTTTTGTTTAAATTTGTTTTATTTAAATAAATAATTTCGTTATTATTGTTCTACAAAAATCAAATTGACATCCAATAAAGCCTTAGGCATCAACTTCTATTTCAATAAATTATATTTAATCGCACAGTCAAGATTTAAATGATTAATAGCCAAAAAATATTCTTCTTTTACTTTCAGATCTCATACAATGTCAAAATTGTCAAGAGTAGTGAAATTTATTTTCATCATATGGGTACTTGCCTTCGGATTAGCTCTTCCGCAAGCTTTACAGTTCGGAACCATTTCATTTCGGAATGGAGAAATTGTTTCATGCACGGTAAATATAACATTTTTTTTGGATTTTTACAATACATACCTTTTGTGGTTATTTTTTGACATGATCAATGGACCATGAAATTAAAAATGCTGTTCTAGCAAAAGAGAATGTGACGAATTTTCAAGGAAGTAAGAGGAATGGGTTACAGACATGTCTGTTGATTTGAACGGGATTCTTCAGGAAACAGATAGAATGTAATTAATAAAGAATTTAAAAGTGAATGACCTCAAACCAAGAATAGCAACATTTTAAAGAAACTCTACAAAAACTTACATGGCAACACAAATTTCCCGAATGCTCATAAAATGAACGATTCGAACTAAATTCATACCTTTTTTAAAAAAATGCTTTCAAAAGCTAATTCCATGAAAAATTCATAAAAGTCATTCATCCAAAAATAAAATCATGAATTGTTTGAGAACGGTCGACATGGGGATTTCCTTTAAAGCATGTGATATGTAAAATGTTGAAGCAGACGCAATCTTCAAAGAGAAGAAACCGAAAAGGTGAATTTTACAATTGATTTGCTCCATTTTGGATTGCAGCGATTCCCAAACTTTTCTGTAAAACAAGCTGTGAATTCAAATTTTAACAAGCAACTAAAAAACTTGCAATAAAGCATCAACAAAAATAAAAGTCATAAAAGTATGTCATAAATTAACTAAATCCAGCAGCAATAATATTAACATCAACTTTAATAACTTATTAAATATCAATAAAAGTCTTAAGGAATTAAAATTTGGCAAATAACAAATTAATTTAATATTTTGGCGATGAAAACATTTAAGCTATAAAAGTTGATCACACCTTACTATTTTGATGTCATAAATATGTCGGGATTTGGATTTGATTTTTGAATTTTTCTACGGACGAAAGGTGCCAACAATCGCTGATCGATTTTATTTACGTCCTCAAAACCCAATGGAAAGCTTAATAGGAATGCTACTAATATAACTAGAACTGTGCCAATTAAAGTATAATAAAGATAAGATATCTGATAAATACTAGGCACTGTGACTTGCTTTTCTTCCACTAAACTTGATATCGTCAATGATGGTGCTGTAAAATTATATTCGCAATGTTCTACTGACATAGGCTTGGTAGTAAATTTCAAATATCCGAGTGCCATTTCAGCTTGAACTTTAAGAACGAAGAACATCATTGTGATGAATCCAACAATACTTCCAATAAGGGTTGCACGCTTATTGATCCATGGCAGGAAAAATCCAATAATATAAACGCCAAATAATGGCCCGAAACAAGCTGTCGGCACACTTAAAGTGAGTTGAAGTATTGTTCCCATATGTTGTACAATGTAGACGAGTGCTATGGCAATACTTCCGAGTATTATAACTGTCCCTCTTGTCACAACTGTGCACATTCTTTCTGACATTTTTTCTTTACGGAATGGCTTAAAGAAATCTTCAAGAACTACACAAGCAGATGAATTAAGTCCTGTCGAGATGGAACTTAGAGCAGCTGAAAAAATGCCAGCAATGAAGACCCCTGAGAGGCCCGGAATATCTTTAAATGTTTGCATGACCAGTAAAGGCAACATTTGATCTTTAGCTTTTGCTAGTTTTGTTTGTAATGGATCACACTCGCTGTATGTTGCGTATAGAAGTAGTCCATTGTAGCAACAAAGTATTATTATTATAATCATACCAATAACATAAATCATGTTACTTGTACGTGCAGCCTTCACAGACTTTAATGATAAATAGCGCTGGATCATATTCTGGTTTAATGCATTATGTGCTGTATAAAGAATTGAACCGCCAATAACCAATGTCAAGAATGTGTGACGTATTGTTGGATCTAAACGCATGCTGTATGTAATATACGGCCTGTTTCACTAAAGTGGATTATCCTCGATTTCGGATTATCCACTTCAGTTTTTTGGAAATATCGCCAGACGCTTAAGGTTATTAAGAGATCTAATGTGTGATCTAGCAAGAGTACTTTGCTACTTAAATCAACATATACTTAGAATTTTTATATCTTCACTAGTTTGAGAATTATAGCAAAAATTGAAGTTAATCTACTAGATTTGGCTGGGAAATTGAATAATTGATAGTTCTTAACGAAAAGTAAAGGTTTAAAGTATACAGAAATTTCAGGCACAGCTCACTCTATTATAATCCAAAATTAGAAATACCACACCTCCCATAAAGTTTAAGATATTTCCAAAAAACTGAAGTGGATAATCCGAAATCGAGGATAATCCACTTTAGTGAAACAGGCCGATAGAGATGGATGATATATTTCTATTTGTCTAAAGGAAACATATTACTTACTCAGGTGCTTCAAATCTGCCACTTTCGATGTTCTTCTCAAATACTTCTGAGATTCCACCCACGTTCATTGTTCCTTTGATTGCTATGAGAAGTAATGTACCATACATGATTGTTATTTGTACGACATCTGTCCAGACAACAGCTTTTAGTCCTCCCAAGCATGTGTAGAATATACAAATTGCGACAACAAGCGGCGTAATCTTATGAATGCTAATACCCGTCATTTGATTAAATGCCAATGCAGGAACATAAAGCATCTTTGTAAACAAGAAAAATATTTCAAATATTTACAGATAAGGAAATAATCATGAATTAATTATTACGTACAATTGGTAACCACAATACTGTTGATATTATATACATAATTGAACCGAAAAGTCTGACTTTTCTATCGAATCTCATCTGTAGATACTATAAATGGAAAATAAGTTTAATCTATGTATTACAGCTCGTTATCTGCGATTTAATGATCCTTGAAATCAGTGTTGCATTCTGGCTATTTTTCTGGATCAGATAAATTCTGAGACAGAAATTTCTTCATAAAGATCGATTCTACATGAAGATAGAAAATCTAATCTACACAAAGATTATTTCTACATAAAGATTCTGTCTACATAAAGATTCGATGTAGATGTCTACAATTCTACATTCTTCTCTGATGTAGACCTGGAAAAAATGTAGAATTGTAAACATCTACATCGAATCTTAATGTAGACAGAATCTTTATGTAGAAATAATCTTTGTGTAGATTAGATTTTCTATCTTCATATAGAATCGATCTTTATGAAGAAAGTTTCTTAGCTAGACAAAAACTATTGAAGAATCTACATTCTTCATCTAGTGTAGACATCTACATTTGCAACGCTGCTTGAAATCAACTTTAAACTGCTTAAAACTTTATTATTTCTATCACTTATGTTGATGTACTTTTTGTCTATCAAATATTCATAAAATACTTTAAAGCAAGGGTTATACTCTTCATATTAAAAATTAAAAGATCATGCACCGCTTAGCAATGTTATCAGCATACACAAATTTCACTAGTTCATTATACATCAACAATCTTATATGAACCAAATCACAGACAGTTTCCTCAACAAAAAAAGTTTGACTTTAACTGATTGTATTATTTTATGTAGATTAACTTACTTCATAGACTGATATGATTTGTAGTTTATGGAACATTGGTATCATCACGAAATGAAGCGCTGCTGACGATATAACAATGGCTATGAGAATGTAGATATATTGTGTGCCATAAAGATAAATCTCTGTGCTAGCTCCTGCAAATTCAATTTTCTTGTTAAAATGATGTCAAATTTATTAAACTTTTTTATATCATACCTAAAAGTAAGACACCTGAGACTAATGAAGCAATAAGAGACATTGCGACTGGAAATACTTTCATCTTTCGGCCACCCATAAGGAAGTTGAGTGTATCATGATCAGTCTTTATTGATTTCTTCTTCCTAAAGTCTTTAATGCCAAAATAAAGCCCTACTAAGGAACAGCTGCACAGCATCGCAGCAAACACTATTTTATCTAATAATCCAAATTTTTGCAGCGACAGACTGAGCTCGTTCACATCCATTTTTGTGTGTTTTTAAGAATTAATATAATTTTTAAACCATCTGCTTTCTTCAAGCAGTTTTAAACAACTGAGATTTATTTTAGCGTATGACTTGATATTTTTAAAACTGGAATGACTCCTTATCATTATTTATGTGAGTTATTCCTTTATTATCTTACACTTAACATGTTACAATCTCTCACGTTTTCACTAATCAAACAAATCTTAATCTTTGAAGTTGGAATTAAATGCCGCAATAAACTTCTCAAAGGAGGTACTTTCTTACGCAACTTTTGTTTGTAAATTCTGTCTCGGAAGGAATGTTGTCTTTAATGCAATGTCAAAATACTAGTTTGAGCTGTGGGAACTAGAATATGTCGAGTATACAATGTTTTATTTATAGTAAATATTAAATTCTTATTGATCTTCCGGATCTTGCAGTGTTTCTTTAAAGGTTTACCAATCTAATCATTAACATCAAATCCACTGCAATTTCTCAACAATAAGCTGCATATCATGCATCAAAAATAACAATAAACAATTCAATTATTATTGTGAGTTCTTTAAACTTTTCAAAGAATTTCTTCTGTTCAGGAATGTTCAATGCTCACAGCAATTTCAAAGTCTGTTGTATCTAATTTCGTAAATAAGCAAAACTAAACATCAAACAATAAAATTATTCTAAAGACGAGACAGTCAATGACTGATTAACATTAAATTAATTCAATGCTCTGAATATTTCATGAGTTTTGACCCAATAAACATGCGTAGGCTGTACGAAAGGCTAAGATAACAAATCTGTTTCGTCTTTCATCTTATCTCTTCCATGGAAATCCCCTATTAATTCTACAACTCTCACTACAATTTGAGAAACTTCACACATTCGGTGACAAATTGATAATTTTGACCTGAGATAATGTTTGTGGCATTTCAAGCGATAATCAATGCCTGTTCATTTTGATTGATGTTTCTTGTTGCAATCGGAGGAAATCAAAGTGTTTTACTTTCAATTGCTGTTTATTAAATCCACAATGACGCTTAAATAGCAGCTATAGAATTAAACTATAGACTGACATAAATAATAAACGTCAAGATAAGCTGGATATGAAAATGAATAGGAAATTTCTTTTAGGGTTGTTCGAAAATGACGTCAATCTGATAAGTTGGATATTTAGATTTCCCTTCTTAATGATGAAAGTCAATTCTGTACATTCCCTATCAGCACTGAATATTTAATTGCTTGCCAGCAAGTAAAATTACACCTCTGAATATTTTATGACATAATTGTAGGTATTTTTATCTAGAAATTAATCTAATCACTGCTAATCACATAAATTGCTCCTTTACAAAATTCGATACTATTATTATTATTGATGACATGATTAAGGCTAATAAAAATCATGTCTGATTGATTGAATAATGATTGTGACAACTAAGTGTGCACTCGCATATTAAGCATGTACTTTTTGATTAAGCAAATTCATCAAATTTCAATTATTGTCAACATAAGTGTGTCTTTTTATTGAATGTTTTGTGATTATAACTGGAAGAATGTTGCTCTGTCAGCATAATTACAACCGTACGAATAAATTGTTTTTAAAGTTCATAAAACGTAACAATAATAAGCAACAATGCAATAAAAGAATGAGTCCACTCATTCCATAAAAGTTTATTTCGTTACTGCCTGAATCATCCATTTATGTAACTGCAGAATCTATAGATCCATGCAGAGTCTAATATCCCACAAATATTTACCATCCTCCAAAAACGTAAAAGAACCACCGAAATTCGACAGACATAGACACATTACCCTCTCCATTACAATGCTGTATTAAAGTCACATACATACTTGGAATTAATTTGAGAAAATGTCACACTTTCTTTTCTGTCACATGTAAGCTTTCTATCTCGTCATGCTCGACTTGACAATAACGATGGCCTTAAAATTCAGATCACATTCTCATACAAGCAACTCATTTGCTCAAGCTTTTGTCGAGAGTAAAAAATTAATGATCCATGATATTCTTTTTTTCTTAGGTGAAAAATCAATTTTTCGAGCATTCATTCGAGCTCAGTAGCTTCTTGTTCTTCATTGTACCAATGACTATCATTTGTGTATTGTACATCCTCATTGGACTTAAGCTACGTAAGAGTAAATTGTTGTATGATAACAAAGGAAAAGGCTGTGATTCTCAAAGATGTATTAAGGGACAGACACGGGTGGTCCGGATGCTTAGTAAGAGAAATGATTTCAATAAATTTATTAGTCGTTCTTAAATCCTTTCTTTTCTATCCTTTACAGTTGCTGTTGTTGTTTCATTTTTCTTATGTTTTGCGCCGTTCCATTCTCAAAGGATTATGGCAATTTATGGTAAAATTATGAAGAAGTCATCTAGTTTAGACGATACATTCATGAAAGTTTATGTTGCTCTAACATATATGTCCGGTATTACATACTTCCTATCAACATGCATAAATCCATTTCTATATAATCTAATGAGCCATAAGTTCAGAAATGCCTCGAAGGTAAGATCTTGTTGAATAATTTAATGGTTTAATTTTAATCAGTGTTGCTGGCTCGACTGAATCAGATTTGTCATTAGCTGCAGTGTATTCTTAGCTTTAGTTGACTGATAAAATATCTTCTGAATGATAGAATATACTGCAACTTTGTTGCTAATAAATAAAATTTGAATTTAAAATAAACGTTACGATAGATGTGACTTAGACTTTTCAAGTTTTGATCTGGTTATTCAAGTCTCTGTCGATAAGCAGCACTGCTTTAAATTGAAATATTTTGCAAAGCATTTTCACAGAATCAAATATTAATTAAGAAGTTAATTACAGTACATTAACATTTTACAAGCGATAATTGCCAATTAATCTTCAAACTTCTTATTACTGCTATTTCTAGCTGACACTCTTCGTTCATTGCCTAAGTCGAACGCCATCGACAAGAAAGTCACAGCTGGGAAGTAATTACAGTGCGCTAACATTGAAGTTTGGACCATTAGACCCGACTCGAGTAGCTAATGTGAATCGTGATCATTTCATAATTCAATCAGGAAACAATAGCGGTAGTGAAATAATAGAGATAAAAGAAGTGTCCAGTATTGATGAAATAAGAAATTTCAGAACAGATGGCATCCCGTATTTGATGGAGCAACCATATCATGCCGTTGTACGATTTGAACCAATCAATTTCTCATATAGCCAGCAAACGACATCAACGACCATCAGTCGAACAGGCAGTTTGAAGAGTCAACATAACCAAAATGAGAGTCGATTCAATTCGTTCGCTAGAAAGCTGAAAAAATGTACGCAAAAGGCTTTTATCATTAAATCTTATGGTGATGACGAAAAGGTTCCCAACGGCTACAGAATTCCACAAATATCAGCCATACAATCATTAGAGCCATCAGTTATTGAGAAAAATTCAAGTCTTCGGGAGGTTGATGAAGAATTTATGAATGCTGAGCTACATCTTGAGCACAATAATGACGATGGAAATATCATAAAGCAGTGTAACGACAGTAATCCGTCTTGATATGAAACCTCATTTGTTTAATACTCTTCTCACGTCGTCGTCAGTACAAAACAAAAAAAAATACTTTTTATATTCTTTCTGATTTGTTGTTCCTCTTTTTATAAGTGAAAAAAAAAATAAAATATTTGAAAAATTTTATTTCGTGAATGTTAAAAAAGGGTGAAAATTTATTATTTTTGTTTGAATCTCCTTGCAGGTTTGCGGCTGAAATAAGGGAATCAAATGTGTAAAGTATGGTAATTTTTCATAAAAGATTTTGTCTCTTAAGCTTTGTTGTGAGTCTTTTCACGTATATTTACACGCTAGTGTCCTTTATTATAAGAATGTAGGGAAATATTTGTGAATAGCTGAATAGTTCATATATTACGTAACGTAAAAGAACAAAGCCCCCTCCCACCCCCGAGTCACAAATTTGCTATGGAAAAAAATCCCTTTGTTGTGTCAAATGACTTGACAAAGCCTCTATTGTTCCCCACCCCTCATCCCTCAATTCACTTGACAAAACCCTTTGTGGACATCATTTATGAACGATCCCTTATCGTCTTAAAAATATATACATAAGGGGTCGTTCACTTATGATGTCCAAGATTCAGGAGGAAGGGGTCTACGATTTGGAGCACATTTTGACAGGGGGGAAAATTTGTGACATCCTATTACGTAAAAATTAAACCATAATTTTTGGTAAACTTTGATTGGACGTCACAAGGGTGGGGTGGGGGGGGGGGAGGTTGTACTGGCACATGTGACAGAATGGGGGGGGATTGTACTGGCACTTGTGACAGAGTGGGAAAGGGGGTTCAAAAAATAATTATTTTTATGGACGTCATAAGTAAATGATCCCCTAAGAAAGAAATTTATTCACGTTTAATAAAAGGTCGTGAATCTCAATATCTGCGGTAGATAAGCGACATTCCGTGTTCTTAAATTTTTGAGGCGTATTTGTGTAAATTTATTTATTCTGTGGTTCACGAAGAATTTATGCTAAAAATATGTGTCACAGACACAACTTCATTCAAAGGTTATTATGGAATATTCGCTAACGAGGACATTTATTATCAATGCCGTACTTAAGGAATAGAGGCGTTGTGTTTTAAGAGGAAATTTTAGTATTCCATTCCTTCTCAGAATTCAATTTTCCATGCTTAAACTTTTCTAATTTATTATTTTTCTTATAGAACAATATTTGCAATTAATTTTGAGGCTTGTGACAGTAATCCATAACGTATTTCAGCTTAATTTATTGTTCTTTCATCAAGAGAGAACCTTGTTCATAATTTGACGAGATGAAGCTAGAAGAAATTCATAAAAAATGCAAGAATTTAATCTCATTCTTATCAAAATCTAATGACATCAAGAAAATTCTAAACTTCACTGCCTAAGTACCTAGTCATCCTCAAAACCTTCATCAATGAATGTCAGCACACAATTTCAAATAATTCCATCCACATTCACAAATCAACAGGCACATAACAGAGCAAACAATGCATTCATGTCATCGCTCTACATGCTTTATGGAATTGACAACAAATGGATATTTTATCTAATTGGTGGAAGATTTCTCATTGCGAAAATTACAGCATGTACAGTCGTCAATGAAGCTTTTTTTTCAGACAATGTTTTTGTATTTTATGACGACAACATAGGAATGACTTTTATTGTTGCTTAATGACTGAATCAATAGAAAACAACAAATCGATGTCATATTTCAAGCCTATTAATCGCACTTGATGGGACTTTATTTTAGGGGATGAGGAAAATCAAGGAAAATTATTTGTTGCTAAATACATCATCAAAGCCAGGGTTTGGGGAACCTGTTAACAGAAAACAGAAAAACAGCTGTTTTTTGACAAAAATCTGTTAACAGAAAACAGGTCTCAAAAATAGATCTGTTTTCTGTTTTTCATTTTTACATATAATTTAAAGAAAAAAAAATTTCTTAATTTTTTGAAGAACTTAATATAGTTTTCTAGCATTCCAAATTGAAATGTATTTACAATTTTAATATTTTTTGGATGTTTAATAGGTTTGAAATCATTATCAAATTTATGGTTAATCATTATTAATTTGCAATCGAAATTTTAAATTTGTTGAACCTTTTGTAGCATTTACTAAAGTTTAAAAATTTAATCAACAATTTTACAAGATATTTTTTTATTCAGAAAGATTTTTTGAATATTTCAAATAAAATATTAGAGTTTATGGAACTTTTACAATACAACAATGCAATGTTACTTAAAAATATAAATTTTTTTGGATTTTTTTTTGCATTTTTATATTTCATTATATTTTAGAGTTAATTAACAAAAAAATTAAGAAATAATAATGCTTAGCTCGAAAATGTATGCTTAAATGCTTATAACCACCAAAAAGTTTCATTATCTTAGAGAAACACTTAGGATAACTCAGTTTATTTTGAATTCTAGAAAAACAGGAAAACAGCTGTTTTTAAAATTCGAAAACCGAAAACAGACTGTTTTTCAAAAACAGCTGTTTTCCACAAACCCTAATCAAAGCTGTTTTTCTAATTTGTTATGCATTGAGTATGACGACAGTAAAGGGATAACGTGTCTAGATTTAGTCCTAATCTGAAGTAAGAAGCTTCAAAAAGATATCTTGGGATTAAAGTGGCAGTTCTTAGATATAACTTGACAGGGGCAATCACTTTGTTAATCTCCCTATTTTTTTTAAAACCGTCATTTTTTGAATTTTTAAAACCTTTTCAAATATTTTTTGGCCGTTATTTTTCAAATATTTTTTAACCGTTATTTTTTTGAGAATTTTAGATTGAATTTCTGCTCACACTGGATGCTGGAAAGGTGCGTTTTTGTCAGTAACAATTAATCATCATCCATAAATTAACTTTATTACAATAAATTTCTTCATAAAGCTTCTTAATTAATTTATATTAATGCTTTTATCGTACTATGAAGCTCTAGGAAAATTTCAATATTCTATAATTTATTAAATTTTATTTCCACAATTAGACAGAAAAATTAATTCATTAAGCTTGCCAATCAATTTATGAAAAGTTTTAGTTCACTTGAGTTCCATGTCAGTTTTTCGTACTTACCACAATTAATTATTGTAGCTAAAGCTTGTCTGTCATTTACAGATACCGAATTATTTATGAAGGATTTACCTGATTGAACAGTGCCTGAAACTATTCCCGTATTTTCTTGATAATTTTAGCCAATATATGGAACTTAATTAGTAAAACGCCTCTGCTATCAACAAGCTGTTTTGGAAATGAATAAAAATATTAAATTTTAATTATGGCTTTCAGCTAGTTCTTCATTTGATGAAGAGTAAGTAGAAAAAAAAAATCTTGTGCTTTATTTTCACAACTTTAATTAAATATTTTTACACATTAAGGCTCTGTAAGAAATCACCAACTGAGTTTTTGTTGTTCGCCAACCATTTAATGTTGTTCTCGATTGTTTCAAGTGCTTGTGTCCTTGCATTGGCACCTGCACCAGCTTCTGGATATGTACGGAAAAAGTCCTTCATTTCTTGTAATCTAATTGGCTTAGCGAACTTGCTAGTGATTGTTGGAATCATTCTACCCAAATTTCTTTCATTTAATCCAAAACGCTCGACTAAATTGGGCCAATTAGTTCTTACAAAATCCCATACAAGAGGCTCGCCCATGCGATTACCCGATATAGATGATAATAACGAGAAATAATCTTGTTTACGGACATAAGTCTCATTAGCTGATGCAATATCAATGTATTGAGTCAATATGACTTGATCTTGAATTGCTGCTAATCCTGATTGTAATTTTGCTTTTTCGCTTGCATCTTGTTCATTTTTAAAAATATCAAACATTAGGTTCCAATATGATTCAGTTCCCTTTGACTTCATTCCGTAGTAATAGATTAAGGATCTTAAATCTGGATGTGGACGTATGTTGACTGGATCATCTTTAAGCCATTTTTCAAATCTGGTTCCAACTTCTTCCAAGCATGTTTTATGTTCAAACGAGCATGCTAAGTCAAGAATTGAAATGCGATTTAAGCTGTATAAAGAAATTTGTAAAAATAACGGTTTTTGAAAATTCGAATTTGAAAACCTTACAAATGATTTTACAGTTTTTAAAACCATACAAATTCTTTAATTTTGAAAACATTTGTAAGGTTTTTACGTGCCAAACTTACTTTTCAAGGTGATTTGCAGGATTAACCTCCCAATTGACATTATTATAAGCACCATCGACCAGGGTTGTAACATATTTCATGAATTCTTTATAAAATTCAGTTCCATAAAGGAGATTTCTGATGTTCTTTAACTTTGTTGATGCAACATCCCATGGAATAAAGGAAGTCTCAACTTCCAAGAATTCAGTCATTTTTAAGGCAGTTGTGTAGTCAATTTTAAGACCTTGTGCAAGACTGAAAACATCGTTTAACAAATGTGCACGATCAAGAACAGACATTGCATTAATGTTGGCTTTTAGGGCTTCTTTCATGCTTTCCCACATTGATTGGTTGTAATTAACTCTATAATAACCAACTTGATCCTTATTAATCTTAACCCAATTAGCATTGCCAATGTCGAGAGTCAATTTATCCATATTATGATAGAACCATTCACGCTTAGTAGTATTATCAGCATCACTAAAGTAAGTAATAGGAATTGACCATTTATAATTAAATTCGGATGCAACCGTCTCTTTTGACTCGCTGTCTGGGTCAGTCAAGAATCTCTTTTGTGTTAATTGAACGGTTGTTCCAATTTTCTCGACAGTAACAACTGGAATACCCTTTTGACGAATGAATGTATTGACGATACTTGAAATATCCAAATCTGTATACTTCTTCAAGTTTCTCAACAAGTCATCAGAATCAGCATTCAAATATTTCATTTCCGTTAAATAATCAGAAACTCCATTTTGAAAATTATCAGGACCAACAAAGTCTTCAATCATGCGAATAATGGAAGCGCCCTTATTGTATGTAATACTATCGAATATTTCTGTGATTTGATCTGGAGTTTCTACGCCCACAACAATTGGATGACTTCCTAAAGTTGCATCAAGATCCAAGACGCTGTGCATTGTATCAGTCGTAAATTGATCCATCATATTCCAATCAGGCTCTGCTGCATTCTCTCCTTTGAATTCAATGTATGATGCAAATCCTTCATTAAGCCACAAGTCGTTCCACCATTTCATTGTGACTACAAAGTAACATTTTATATTGTTAATCAGTCAAACTTTAATAAAAATTGAGAATTCATACCTAAATTTCCAAACCACATATGAGCACCTTCGTGAGCAATGACTGAGCAGATACGTTGTTTATTGGCTGTTGAGCTTGTTGCGACATCATACAGCAAGTTAGTTTCACGATACGTGATCAGACCCCTAGATTTAAATATTCAAAATTAATCTTCGGATTTAAACAAATCTTGAGTTTAAAGACAAATCCTGAGACTAAAAGTTAATCCAAAGCTTATCCTTATAAACTTTCAAGTCAGCATTTAGGACTCAAAACTCACCAAGTCTCCATAGCACCAGAAACAAAATCGGGAATAGCAGCTAAATCCAACTTAGGCAATGGATAAGGAATTTTAAAGTAATCAATGTAGAATTCAATGATTTTCTGCGATACATTCAAGGCATAATCAGTCTTGCTAAGTTGTCCGGGAGTTGAGTAGACACTAAGTTCGAATGGTTCACCTACTTCTGATCCAACATTAGCTGTGACATTTTTACGAGCAAAATCTGAGACAATAAAGACTGTTAAGTATGTTGACATTGGAACTGATTCTTTAAAGATGTATTTCTTTAATCCGGTGTCATAATCTTCAATCTTTTCGACATCCATATTTGATAAGGCATGATATCCATCTCCATCAGGACTAATTAAGGCAATCTTGTATTTCGCTTTCATCGATGGCTCATCTAGCGAGATAAATACATTAGTTATAGTGACTATGTCTTTATATTAAGCATACAACATACCAAAGCATGGGAAAGACTGTCTAGCAAATGTTGGTTCAAACTTGGAAGTTGCTATGTACCTAAATGCACGTAAAACAATGACATTAAGTATATATCTTATTAACAAAACTTAAGATTAACTCATTTAAAGCTCGTAACTCCCAAAACAGTCATTAACAATCAATTTTGATAGTGATTAATTGCTTTACCTTGATTTGTTTCTCATTTTATCAAAATACGAACTGCCATAAAAGCCAACAATCTTGTTATCAAGTGATCCATTAAAGTCCAAGTCGATTGTATAATTTCCAGCACTTAAAGCACTTTCAGGCTCAATAACAAAGTATTCGAATTTTGGATACTCAAATGAGCTCTTTACTCCGATTCCTTCAGCTCCATTCACAAGATTTTTCATCAAATTGACATTTGTGATGTTCAGGAACTTCGAATGGAGTGCTAGATAAGGCATTTCCTCTGACAAACTTACGTCTATTTTCACATTTCCACTGAATGTCTTTTTCTCTAAATCTGGATGCAGCAGTAAGTTATATGTGGACGGTTTTATTGCTCTCGGAAGTCGGAAAGTTAAACTTTCAGCAATTTTATTCATATTATACTTATTATTAGCACTTCCACTCTTATTGGCGTTATTTGAACGATTTATTAAAGATATTTTTGATATTTCTTCTGGCTGTTCCTTTGATAGCTTATCACTACGCTCTGATAAGCCTTTTCCTACTACGACTAATGCACACAGTAACAATAAAGCTAAAATGAATGAATTAACAAGCAAATTATGAGTATATTATGGATATTTTAATGAATTATTTAATGAAACTTTGACAATGATTGTGCAAAAATTTGCGGGAATTGCCGTTTTATGCTTAATCCTTAGTAATTTTGATATTTCCTAATAAGATATGCAGTTAATATCAAAATCATAAGATCTATATGCAGCTCAACAAGCTTCATTCCTGATATCCTGCAAACATTCTCAGTTTATAGAAATTACAGCATAAATCACAAATAAAATGTAAATCCATAGTTTTTTGTCCAACCCATTGTTTGTAAACAAACCGGCTCATTCAAAGCACGGGAAAAATTTAAAAATTAAAATTTCGTTAAACTTACATAAAATAAAGAGAAACACGACTATTGAAATTAAGCTTAAAATTATTATTGACGTTCTTCGCCGTGATATTTCGGCAACATCCAGCTGTTGTTTAACTGATGATGCGCTGTAGCTTGTACTTGATGGACGTATTAAGTTATTTTGATTTGGCATTTTGGAGAATTTATTTTCACTATAACTATTAATCTTAGGTATAATCACTGATTTTTGTGTCTCTAATATACTTTTAAGCACTTTCTCTTTCCGTTTCACATGTTTATAGACTATATTTCATCTAATTAATAAAAATTATTCCAATTAACCTATTTCCAACAAAATGTCAACAAAGGATTATTGTCCAAGAGCAGATTACTCAAATTGTAAGTATATTGAAGTATATAGGCATAAAATAAATGTAGAGAGCATACTAATGATTCAACAACATATTGTTTAGATGAAATTAATACAGTTTTCACCGGTTCAATTGTCTCAACTTATTCGAAACTTCGTCGTTTAGTCTATTGCGTAAATTCTGTGGATGTAAAGAACTTTCTGAAGATTGATGACTTTAAATATTATAAAAGGCTCCATAAGAAACCTGCTGTTGGTGCTTTCTTCGTGTATTATAGTGCATCACGCAACAGTTACTATCGAGCATTCAATCTTGGTTCTAATCCAGTAGATCCAGTGTCAATTAAAGCCTTCTTTATCGACACAGGCGAATGTCATTATCTGGTTTATGAGAAGAAAAAGTTCTTTTACTATCCTGATGCATTTTACATGCCAATTATGGGAATATTTTGTAAGATTCGAAACATCCCGAAGAGATTCAAGTCTGCTCTAGATTTTTTCGAGGAATGTCCATTCAAAAAGCTCAAATTTAATATTGTCGAAAAAGGACAGACTGAAAATGATTTAGGAGCTAAGGAAGAATGTCTAATTGTCGATGTTGAATTTTCCAAAAATAAAGCAGATTTAGAAGATGATGAAGATGACAACGAAAGGAATCAAGCCATTAAATTGACAAAATCAGTTCTACTAAAGTTTAACTGCGCTAATGACCCACCAATAGAATTAACATACATAGATGTTCCGTTTATGTCTTCAGAAGTTCCAGACAAGACAATCAAATTTAAGACTAATCAAAAAGTTTTAGTATATCCAGAAATGACAATTGCGCCTAATAAATATTATGGAATTTGTAAAAGCACACATGAAGCTAGTCGTGACATGGAGACTCTCACGCGACTAATGATCAATATGAACAAATTTAACATTACGTACGAGAAATTGGCTAGAAAGGCAGTTCTAAATGAAATGGTCATAATGAGTGAAGATACTGACGATGGTAATCGATATTATCGCGGAATGGTTTTAGAGGTATTCGATGAGATTTCTATAGTAAGTATGATTATCATTTAGCCATAATTTATGCCAAACTTCCATTATGCAAATAAACTATCAAAGCCGCAATAATTTATGGATCATTTCCTAATATGCACATCTATTCATTTCATATTCACAGATTCTCTACGTGGATTATGGAAGAACTCAGCCATTTCACTGCACAAAGCTTTTCAAGTTTCCCATCGAATTCTCGTCAGTTCCTTTCCACACATTTCGCATTCATGCATCAAACATTCAAATTAGCCACGACGATGCCATAAATCATACAAATATGATTGTCATTGATCTCACAATCAAACCAATGTGCTTCGGAGTTGTTGAGTAAGTAAATCTTTATATAAATCGCATGACCACAATTTAAACATTGAGGAACTAATTTTATTTCCAGAACAATTGATGAACTTGACATTGTCGTCAAATTGTACGATAAAAATGGACACAACATGAAAGATGTTTTAGAAAGAATCTACAAGCCACTACGAGTACCAAAGGTATCCAAAATAGTCAAAAAGCTTGCTGATGATGATCAGTCACGTGACTGGACATAATTAAAATTCACACATATATCTTTTATCAAGTTCATTGTGACCAAGTTTATTCAGCGCTTTTATGCAAAAAAATGAAATAAAAACAAGTTTTAAGCAAGTCAATCATCCGCATCGACTTTAAAAACATTTTCAAGTGCAAAAGTGCAGTTAAAGAAATAAAAATGGAAAGTGGAATGTGGGATTATGTGTCTGTTGCATAATTTTTATACTTTATTTTGCGGTAGAAGTTGCTATTGCGTTGCTTCTACAATAATCAACATGCACAACCTCACGATTATGTGATTTTTTCAGTACGTATCACAAAAACATAAAAGATTCACGATTTTTGTGTCGATAAATGGTTTGAGCGTTATTGAAGCGTATTGAAAAAATTTTAATTTGCATAAATGTGGTTTTAATCATGGCACTGTAGCATATCGCTGAATGTCGTTGTCAATAATACCACTTTGTGTGCGATATTGTGCTAACGAAAAAAGGTCAAGTACGCCAGTAAACAGAATGCTTTAGTTAAAGAGTACTTAGTTGTCTTAAGCGCTGTTAAATATCTGTCGTGGACTTGATATCTTGTGAGGCTACATAAAATTGAGCAGGGTAGGCCTTAATTTTAAATGATTATTTAGGCTACCATCAATCACAAATCAATGGAAAGTCATCAACAAAACTTGAAAATTCAACCAATTTTTTAACACAAAGTTAACATACTCAAATCTCAAATTTATAGCCATTAAAATTAATTCATTGCTATCATTTACAACTCATTTGATACTAATTGAAGCGATTCATTGACAAAATAAACGCCCAAACACACCTTTATAAGTTAGCATATTCTAATAATGAAGAACAAAATAATCAGTCATCCAAACAAAAGTGAATATCCACACCTACACATAGAAGAATGATCATTAAACACACCATTCATCTATTTATGCTGCTAACAAAATGTCAGTGTTGTGAGAAAAAAAGAATTAATATAAGAATTGAATGCAAATCCCGCATGACATTGTTCCATTTTGCTCGTTTTTTTATCATCTACTCAATTAATTCCAGCTAATTGTAAACGTTTTACGCATTTTTTGGACCCTTGACACAGCATCATCTTAATTTATTTGAGTCAATTAAACTAAGCAGATGATGGATTATGTTGTAGATTAGTCTAAGCAATTAACACTTTGTTTAGATCTGTTTTTAATAGAAAGTTGGAGTATTCAAGTCCATTGACATATTTTTTGGGACACCTGGTAATGATACATGACAAAATTTTGATGTATTTCTCTTAGCGACATCACATGAATCTGTAATTTTTAGTGCCTTTTTGGAAAAAGGAATGAAGTTTTTGTTGTCACTTTGTCTGTTCATCTATCTCTACTAAGGCAAGAATCATGGAGGATCTTCTTTAACTGAAAAGTAAATCATCTGAATTTTGATGATTTAAGGAAAGTCGTTGATGGATCTGATTAGAGCTATGAATCAACCAAAATGGTGGAAGGTGGAAAACTTCTCTTCCACTGATCACGAGTGACCACATAAATACTATACAGTTTATATCTTCTTTGGATAATTTAATGAAAATTTTTTTTCCCGTGTGACAGACGAAAGTTTAAACATATGAAGACCAAAAACCGTTATCAAGTCATTGTTATTCATGTATTGATAGTTAAAAATCGTACGAAAAGAAATTAAGCAGCCAAAAAAAAATGTTTCTCTTTTTCCGTCTTCTTCTTACGCTTTGGAAATTTTTGTGTACAGCAAATCGATTTTTTTGGTAATTTAACTGCGACAGCTGCTTAAAGAATTATCAACGGAACTTTTTTTCCGGCGTAAATTACAAAGAAGTTCACGACAGTCTAAAGCTTTTTCTAATAATTTTATCATAAGTCATGCTTATCTTACATCTGTAACGTAAAGTACTCGCAAATCAATTATTTTACAATTTATGACTTATGTAAATTGCTGAGCTCATTTTTCAGCTAGTTAATTTTTATGACTAGACTTACAGACTGCAAATTATGTTCATTATCAAACAAAATTTATTATGTCTTATGACATTTTCCGATATGGAAGCTGTTACCATTATTTGGCAGTTTTATGTTACGTATTTCCATGCTCGGTTATCAAATTTTACTGAATTATGGCAAACAATAAATCAAAAGACCTGAATGTTGCAAATTGGCTCAACATTGTATTTCGCACTGATATTATTTTTAATAGCTCTTCCTTCTTATTAAGTAACACATTTTTAAATGGCCCATCAAAATACATTTAATTGTCTCAGCATCGTTTACTTAAAATAATTAAGCTTTTCTTAGTATGGCTTTAAATTTGCACTTAAAATGGTCCATCGTGACTACTTACTTTTGAGAGAATAAAAAAATCTTAATTGGGGCAATAGAACGGATTAAACTGTCTTGAGACTGTTTAACGATCCAAAATATGAGAAAGGAAAATTTCAAGATCTTTTTTTAACAAGCTGATTGAAATCAGCTTATAAAAACTTAATTTGAAGAAGTGTTGTTGGAAATTTAAAGTAAAGAAGGTAAGATTTAGCTTTGGATCCTCTAGCATTTCTAAGTATTTGCTGAGATTATTCTGAGATTGCTTCTTAGATTTTAAAAATCAATTCTTAGACATAATCAAGAACAAGCAACAAATTATTGCGAAGTCTAGATCACGATACTGCCTTTAATCCCTATCAGAATGTTACAAGTCTGATTTTATTTTATGAAACACTATGAAACTATAAGCTAAGTATGACTCTTGTTTATTCTCGTCATTTTCCAGGTTACTTGAAGCTCCTTGACATGTTAGCAATAACAAGTGCTGATACTAATATTGTTGCAGTAATCGAGACTCTGTAGAACTTAAATTCATTCAAAATATCTTTAAATCCATTCATCAAAGGATTAGATCACTATGCCAATGAGCCAATTCACCTCACAAGAAGTTCATTTACATGCACTCGCACTCAAATTCACAGACTTAACAAAGATAAACTACAATAGACATTGTAAATCACACATTACTGAATCTCTAAGGATTTTGCACATTCAACCGTCATAATAGCAACGAAATCTTTTGTTTCACTCATCATTGAAAGTGAATTTAAGCACTTTTATTTTCAATTCACGATTACTTCCTTACTCGATTCACATTTTTCAATTGCAATTGAAATTTTTTCATAATTTTTTTACTCATTTTTTCATTAAAATTAATGATAATTTTTTACTTTTACGACATCATATATTGCGACTTTCATGCCTTATGTGCTCACTTGAAAATTTCACCGATATTAAATGCTTATGCCATTCATATGATTAATATCTAAAACTGACACAAATATTAAATTTTGGTGGATATACGCATCTTGCATTGATAATTCAATGTGAGACATCCAAAATTCACGAGAACGAATTCATCGACCCGAAAAATGAATTGGATCATCGACAGAAAAGTTATAGAGATACGCAAAGGAAGGAAAGAATGAATGGCCAAAATAACCCGTTTTTGTGCTTTCTTCTTACTACTTCTTTAGTTATGCTCTTCACATTATTATTATTTTTATTTATTATTGCCCACGAAAAAGACGAAGAACTGACCAATTTGTTATTTTGCCTCGCATTTGCAAAAATTTTAACGATTCTTTCTTACACGAGCAACGTCGAACGAAATTTACAGTACGTCTGCACGTTACGATCGTCAAATTAAAACTGAAGTTTTTAGCTTTTTTTCATTTTCCATCTTTTCGTAACAAAAACAAATTTCAAACAAAACGTAAAGAGAGAAAAATAAAGTCAAACAATCAACTGCAGCTACTACTCTATAGCTTTAGCAGCTAATTCGTATGATTTGTTGAGAGAACTTTAAAGTTATTTTTATTTCTCTTTAAATGTTTATACTAGTCACATGTTGAGCTATTTTTGGCACGTCTCGTTTACAATTAAACAATTTTTCCATGGTTGAATGTTTTGAAGAATTTTATTAAGATTTCAAGGGAAGGAAGTCTTGTGTTGAAATTGATAGTTTTGGCGGGAAGTTTTAGGTACACAATGTTTAATAAAATTTCATATTTGTACCAATTTGTACGAGTTTACTGTCTTATCTTGATACAATCACTGGATTTGACAGTAGACTGTACTGGATCTTAATTGTGGCTGTTAGAATCAGCAAACTTAAGCTTATAGATAGATCAATTACTAAAACTACCAGATCTTTTTTGTTTTATGAAAAAAGCTTGCCGAACTAAGTTGCAAAATCATATTATTGCTTACCCATTAGAACTCTGATGAAAGAACATTCTTGAAGCAGCATATCTCTAAGTAGTCTTCAAAATATCCAAAAATATGACTTTCTCAATGTTCAAAAATGATTCAATTCCAAATATTTAGCAGTTAACCAAGTTCTAGCTTATCAGAAAGCAGTCCACAACTAACAATGCATTTCGAGATCCAAACAATCGAATTTATAGCCAGATTTGCAAGCCAATTTCAAAATTTTATGTCAAATCAAAATATTTCCCATCATTTCAAGCTTCCTGTGTTCTCTAGACTATTAAGTTTTCAGGTCGTCATACAAAATAGTAATAGACTGAATTTCATAAAGCAAACCACAATAATTATAATGTACAAATGTTGATCAAAAAGTCATAAAATAAAAAATTTCTATTGCTTCACATAATAATATCGCGTGATGACGTCTCATGCCACACTTTACCCGGCGACTTCCTATCCATATCGTATTACTATCATTCACTTGTTTGTGGCTATAGATATAACATAGTTAAGCACAGCTTTATGGTAAAGATCAATATGCATCTATTCAGATGAATGAAAGGTAACAAAGAAAAGCGGATGGAAGGAAAGTTATTACATATGCGGCTGTTGTCAATATTATGTACGGTCATTAATTAGTCAATTGGCATTACGAAATCATCGGCAGGTGCATAACGTGAATCAATTATGAACATGTTTTTTTTTTCTATTTATAGAAAATACCTTTATTACTTAATTAATTTATTACTTATGTAGATGCTCATCATCGTCTTCAGCTCTTTCACTTTTGAATGCACAAGAAAAATTTATATAGGAAGAAGAAGTAAAAAGCTTGAATGACCCAGAAAAAAAAGCGACAAAACATTTAATTTGATTTTTCTTTCAATTTCTTTAATCGTCTCGAGCACAATCAGCATGTGAACGTGGTGAGAAAGAAGACTAGAAAATGTAATTTTGCGGTCAAAAATCGTTTCAATTTCTACCACAAAAAAAGAGTATATATTGAATAAATTTGTAATGGTCATGTTGATCGTTTTATAGAGACGAATTAGCGAATCACAGTTGAAGCTTAAATTGATAGAAATTTAGTTGATTTTCTTTTGGGAATTTGCAATGATGTTAAGTGTGGTTATATATTTTTGGGATTAGCGGAATGATATTTGGGAGTTTGTAAATGTTTGTCCTTAGCCAGGTTCGATAAAGCATGCTTCAGTAGCACGATTGTTCAAGGTTCTTAAACCTATCTTGAGTTCGAAACTCAGTCATTAGAATTGTTTTATTCTCAAATTTGTTTAAGATTTCGAATTATTGATTGAAATATTTAAAATACACAATTCTGAATCTAGAGCATTACTAACGACAGTTCAAACAGTTCATTTGTTACAGATCAGGTCACAGATATTCTGCATAAAAATTTGAAATTTGTTTAATTTGAAACTTCCTTATTAAGTCATTTGACTGAAATATATTTTGTAAAACCTTACAAATGGAGCATGCAGGTGATGTGGATATTAGAAATAATATTTGCACGACTGAATCGATTGAGACGAATTGTTAGCTACACCCATAAGATTAAATTAAAGCTCATGTGAATAGAATGAATCAATTTGATTTTAATAGAATTTTCAATCAAAAGCGATTAATACTTTTGGAATTAATTCTGTGATATGATCTTTTCATTTGATTGGAGTTCATTTGTGAATGACGTCAAGAAATGGAATTTTTGATTACGTTGAACCAAGCGGAGTCAAAATGAGGAAGTAAAGGTTTCTAATCGTCAAATCCTTTCCATTGAAATAAATTGTTGATGCTCTCTTGGTTGGACGTCATTTGTCAACCACCCTCAAGTATACTAAGTATTTAAAACAGTTGAAGACAATCCAATGCCATTGCATGAACAAATTAAATTGATAACAACATTTTCTAAAGACTTCATTGCAAAATAAAAGTTAAACTGCTTATCAAACTACAAGAAATTAATATTCAAGTCACTAAATTGAATTAAGCTTAGTCAGGTAATTGAAGAATTGATTTTTTAAGTCAAGTTGTTTTAATGTTTTTTTTCTTTCTATTTTCACTGCATTCAATGTATTGCAGATCATGTGAATTACAAGAATAAACAATTCTCTCTCGACCATACACGTGTGATTGATATTGTGCAATTAAAAATAAGTAAATTTGATGCAAATTTACGATTCTCAATCATTTTAATTTAATTTAATTGCGAGAATGTGGATGCTTGGCATTTCAAAGCTTGAATCTGTTAATTGAGTGTAATGATGAATCGATTTACATGTAAAAAGTATCGAGTGTGATCGATGCGCATTTGCAATTAAAATTTACGGGTCAAGCTTAAAAGTTATCAAATAAAAATGCAAATTAATGGAATCTTGTGACTAGCTGCTATTGAATAATATTCGTTTGGTAATTGAAATGGTGGAATATCAAGTAAAGTGATTAGCTTTTTATTTGATACATCATGCACAAATGACTCAATCTTAAAGAAGCTTAAATTCTTTAAATTGCATTCCACAAAACTCATTAAAACCAAATAACATCACTCAACAAACAAAGCATCAATACTTTAAAAATAAAATCAAGTAATAATTCCTACATCCAACAAAATTAACTGTGAAAAATCAAAGTTATTCGCTTTTCAGCACGAAATCGACCAAATCACTCCAAAAATTAACAATAATTTTACTGATTGATTTCGAGTGGCGATTTCTGAAGGTCGGCAGACACTTTGTGCAAAGCTTTTTGTAACAATTAGAAAGAAATACAAGACTTAAGATCAAAACATTACATTCACTTATTTATCAAAAATTCGTTCTTGACATGTCATTACTTTATGCCAATTGATTAATTCCAAAATCAAGAGACACAAACAAAAAACAAACTGAAAGAAGTTTAAAGCAAGGTGGATGAAGGTGTTTGAAAGGAAAATATTTGTATTTTCTACTGACTTAATAGACCGGCTATTTGAGTTGCAGTCTAGTGACTTAGCTCCTTCTCTCAGTGATGTGACTAAGATAGAAGGAAGTAGAGCGTTCAACTCTAGTCCCTCCGAACTAGTCGCTTTTAATTCTTCAACGTATTTCTTTTGAATTCAATAACTGATCATCTTTATTCAATTTAAACTATCTCCACTAAAGTTATGGACCACTCAATTGAGGAAATAAAAATTAACATCAATTTTCCTAAGCAAAGAAATCACGCTTAGTCACTTATTTGGGAGTCATTATTTACCATGCTTGTTAGTAAGACTGTAAATCAATATTAGCAATATTTCTAAATTGATTTATTTTGTTTGTACATATTGGATATGAATTAATGTGCTAATTTAATTAAATTCACTTCTTTTTAATGGATTAATTGGTGAATTGAATCGCAATTGTTGCGGTTGGTTTGAATATGGTTTAAATCAAGTTTGGAACTGTTCAAAAAGAACAAAAATGATCAGAATTGATCAAAATCTAATTTATCTAGTTCCATCATGCATCGAGAAAATTGACACCAAACTTTAATTATGATTCACAAGAATAATGAAAGTAAACTTAGAAGAAGCTGTGCATCTTCACAAACCTCCAATCACCATAAATTACAATTCATCATTACGGAATAGCTACATGCGAAATGTCATAACATTTCGTGCTTACAAATGATTTATGATTGATAGAAAAATGCGAAGCATGAAAGCTTCTTTCGACAACATTTCAATTATTTTTCAAATTATTACGAAAATTGATTTTGTTGTACTTACAAAGGCTGATAACACGATGCATTTTTAATGCACTTTAAATTACTTCAACTGCAAAAATTCGACTGATTCTTTTTTATAGGAAGTTTTCTTTGGACCTAATTTCACAAACTGGTTCACAAAACGTGCCTTCACGGCATTTTAAAACACTTTTGCTACCAGTAAATAGCTCACACAAAATTTTTACTGCCTTCTTATCGAAGTGTTAATTGACATACACTAAAATATTATAAGGGCTGTGCCAAAAAATCAAGGAATTGCTTTATTACCTTCCTTATACTTATAATTGCTCAATTTATGATTAATATGTAAATGCTAATTAGAAATGGACGTGGCTATATGCAGCATTAATTATTTATTTATTGAATTAATGAATTTTAATTAAGTCATCTCCAAATATGCTTTAAAGATTGCAAAATTGGAAGAAAAAAATATTTTTCGACTCTGACATTGAAAGAAAAACGGTAAAGCCTATAAAACGATACACATTGTCAGGCGTAAAATTTGTGTATCAACAGCAAGTTTAAAGATCCTTAAAGTGAATCTTTTTTAAAGCGATTTTGATTAATTTATTTAAAAAAGTTCGGACAAGACAGACAATAACAAACAAATAAAGGAATTACGAGCTTCTATCATTAACTTGCATTCTTGACTTACCTGGCATTTCCTTCATTATCTTTATATGCACTTCTGTAGAATCCCACAATCTTATCATTCAAAGAACCGCTAAAGTCAATTTCCAAAGTGGAATTATTGGTTGGTCCAACGCTGTTTGTAAGATAAATTTTCAGCTGCTCCAATTTCGCATGATGTTCGTAGCTCTGTAATTATTTGTTTAAAAAGCAATTCTAAATTTACTTAAATGAATTTTTAAATAATTTTTTACCTCAACTTCAACATTTGAACCAGGTAATGTGAACTTTACAGATGAAATATTCAGCAAGTGTGTGTGGATTGCAAACTCATAAATGCTCGATGAAATTGCCAAATCAATTTTTACATTTCCTGTGAAATGTCCAGTTTGAAGATCTGGATGGAGGAGGAGATCGTAAAGAATTGGCTTTACATCATCCCTTAGTCGTAAATTCACTGGTCCCTTAAGAGGATTAGAATTTTAAGGTTTAGAGTTATCAATTTTGTTGTTATTAAATGTCATTCATAAATCAATGCTAATTAGAAAATGAAATCAAACTATTACAAATGGTTGCAACATCAATTGGCTGTGGGAAGGTAGATACTTATAATATGATAAGACACAATACTTAATCGATTAATGTTATTAGAAATTAATGATTTTATACCAATACACATGTTTACGAGACTGTGGTGAGTTTCTCAATGTTTACTATGAGTCATTATTGAAAAAATTCGTTTCATAAAAGTTCAAAATGAGCTTTTTATAAAAGCTTCAAATGAAACAAAAAGCTTTCAACTTGACAAATCTGAACCACGTTTTAATTTTTTCTGATGGTGAATAAAAATGAAATCAAGTGATGGATTCAATGTAATAAATATGAAAAAATTATTTAATAGATTTGAAATTGTGTATCATCCACCAAACAAAATGTTTTATTTCTTTAAATTTAATGTAATCAATGCATTTGCATGAACATTTAAATATTTTGATGCAAGAAACAAAAGTTTTAAGCAGAGCGACGTTTGCGACCATGATTATTTGTTTTAGCTCCAGAATCTTCTTGTGCCACAGTTGTTTTTTCATCTGCTGTTGTATGAAGTGGACTTACTGTTGTTGTTGTTGTTGTTGTTGTTGTTGTAGAGTTTACTTCATTTGTTGATGGTGTTGTTATTGGATCAGTTACTGCGGATGTGGTATCACTTTGATGATTTTTCTCGTCTAATCTTCGATTTAAGTCAGCATTAATTGCAGCTAAAATAAAACCAAACATTTTTCAATCCAAAATTTTCTTGAGAAATTTTTGTAAACTTAGATATATATGTATATATATATATATATTTATTTATGAAGTTTTAGAGAGAATCCAGTCAATCCTCAAAATCAAATTCATCAGAACTCACCTAATGTCCATGTTGATACAATGAATGCAAACAAACATACGATCAAAAATGATGAGAGTTTATTATTTCCAATCCAAGCTGAAATCAACATAGACGATAAAAATCAATAAAAATGCATTTAAGGATAAATCTAATTATTCTTATTCCATTAAATATTGCTGTTGATTGTTTTAATATTATATATTCTAGATTCTTGAATAAAAATAATAATTTGATCATGTTTGGGATTTTTACTTTGTAGCTTATTCATTTTTCTTTTATTTGATATCCGAAACGAATGTTTAGAATTTCCTATGGTTAAAGATGAGAGTCAAAGCACCTGTATTGAAGTGTAGAATTTTCTAACTTCCAAAGAATTAATCAGTTGTACATGTTCTTACAGGCTCTGTAACATATCTATCTATTTGATTGTTCTAAAGCTTAGATAAGCTATCATTTGAATAAATCAAATTATATTATAATCTATAATACAAACAGATATGAAGAATAAGAAGAACTATCAATTTAACACGTCAAGTGTTTCCAAATTTTGCGTATTACAATTAATCAAGCGCAATCAAGATTGTTTAAAACAAAAAAAGATTAGGATAAATTGTTATTACATTAACTTCTGTCCAATCTTAGTTGAAACTACCCGAATTTGAGATAATACTGGGTAATACGTTTAAATGACTAACAAAAAAGACGTGGCAAGAGTTCAAATTTAATCATTAATTGTATAAGTTATAGAACATTCAGAAGAAGAAAAGTAAATTTCATGTTATCTGTAAGCTGCTTTTGCAAAGAGAGCTTATTTACATTTGAAAGAAGCTTACACATTTAACAAAATATGATAATGACATTTCCTGCCTTTATCTAGTTCAAGGCGCAATTTTCTCAAGAAATTAAACTTTGCTAAATTTAAAATATAATTCAAATTTTCTAATAGAATTCTCATTGCAGCAAATTCCAATAAATCAAGAAATTAAAGACCTTGAAACGAATTTCATCAACCAATTTCTCATCAAAAAAATAATTTTTCTTGATTGTGTTTTTTTGCATACACAATTGTCATTGAAAAGACAATAATTCAGCTAGCTTCTAATGCTTTGCGTATGTATTTACTGTGTCTTTAACCACTGTTTGATAAGATAAAGTTCGCGTGAAAACAAAAAAATTAAAAATTTCAACCACTTAATTAATTATGATGACTATAAATATCATTTAACAGCTAGATGCACTTATATATTGCTAATAGATCTAGAAACTTACTTAAAGTACTATCGACACAAGCTCCTAGTCTACTCATTTTGATTTATCTTTATCTTTCCTTTTCTTGATTGATTAAAATAAAAATTAATTTTTTTTAAGTTTTAGTTTTTTCGACCCTTTCTCGATGAATTTACAGTGTCTACTGACAAAAGTCGTGAAAATGCTCACCACTAAACTACATAGAGGAAAATACATTAAAAATATTGTGAATATAATAACCCCTCATACATGTTCACTATCACAATTACACCTTATTTTTTGTGTATAAATTCTATTGCTTTACTATTTATTGCTTTATGTTTTGTTATTTTTTATCTTATCAATTATTTGTTATCACGGTCATATACTTCGTGTCGATACTTTGCTTCTACACAACACTAGACACTAAAATCATTTAACAAAATTCCCAAATCCGATCAAGTGCTTCTCGTCATTATTTATGACAGAGGAATTTACAAAAGGAAAAATTGCTCAATTAATTGATTGGTTCTGAATTGCGATAAGTTTATTGCATGTGTATAATCTTTTTTTGAGTAGGTTGTAAATGATTTATTCCAGTATTTTCCATCCATTACAGTCATTAAGTTGGGAATTGTTTTCTCATACGTAGTTTAAATATATTCTTAAATTTTCAATTGTATAGGAAAATTCAGTGAACAGGGGTGCATTCTGAGATATATATATCAACTGTAGCGCTTAGCCAGGAGGGTCTTGTCTCACCTTTAAACGTTTGGAACCGCAGCAAAAGCACGGCCTAAAACGCTTAAGAGGGGGACAAGACCCTCCTGGCTACGCGCCTGTATCAACTTCTAGAATATCTAAAATATATCTACGGCACACCAGTGTGCCGCGGTACACAGTTTGAACAACACTGTTATTACACATCGATCGCCTTTTCCACACCGCTTTCAAGCTCTTGACCCAAATCACAAATATCCTCAACCCCTTTTCCAAAAAGTTGTGGAAATTCCTCTACATACATATGAAGCATATATAAATGCATTCCCAAGCTCATTTGTGTACAAATGTTACCATTAATAATTCAATAATGTCCTGAATATTTAATAAAGAGTTGATCGATGACAGAGGATGAATAGGAATGCATTGGAAAGAAATTAACTTGACAAAGTACATGAATATTTCAGCAGTGTGATTTCCTATTTAATCAATCGGTGTCAAATGTTTAATTAATATTTAACCACCTATGTTTATGATATTTCAATATTAATGGATGCGTGTTCAAACATCCAGTTGTTGGACGTCATTCTATAGTATTTAATGATGATATTCTTAGCATGATTCATTATGAATTTATTTGAAGGACTTACGTAATCTTTTTTTCCGACTTGATTTTTCTTTCACAAAGTTTTTTTTTAAGAAATAAAAAATCAATAAGATAAAGTAACTTTGAGGATTATAGACGAGACTAACACTTTCTCATTATACATCTGATAAGATGAACTTAAACTTTCGATAAATGAATTATTTTTAAACGAATATAAATAGGTAACCTTAATACACAGTACACATAACCTCTAATTTATAGCCACTGTATTTTTAAAATTGGAACATTTCAATTGAACTGTGAATTTTCACTTGACTTCTCATAACCAACAGTGGGATTTTAATGTTTTATGTATAATAATTTTTATTTGCAGTTTGCATTGGATACAGCTCCGATTATTTTTGATTGGTTGGCTTTTACTTCTTATCAACAATTGATTTTTCTTCAATTATGCACATGACTTGATATTGGTAGTTTTTGAAATTGAAAGCATAGAAATTAAGGAAACTCCAAATTCTTTTAAAATTAGCTCCATTTGATAATTTATTATTCCCATTGACTAGAAACACTTTATATCACTAGTTTTATAGCTTAAGATTAAATTCAATTTCACTTCAACTTCCACTTATAACCACATTCAAGTCTTACAGCATGACTTATTTTTAACAATTGCAAATTAATCAACCAGCACTAGAACCTACCAAAAAATTTCGTAAAATAATTTGTCATGACAAATTTTCACTTCTTCAATCACTTAAACTTAATCCCGATCCGACTACTTTAGCTTACAGATTAATAACTGAATTAAATGTCTCACCGAGCATTCAATTTAAAGGAACAGATCTTGAAAATAATAGACTTTTATGATCCACTCAGAGTTATACACTGTTCAGAGATATGAATGGCGAGCAGATACCTTGAACGAATTTTAGAAGTGAAAATGTAATTAATGAATTTATAAATGACAGATATAAACTTCAAAATTTGATGTCAGGGATTGGAACTGTTTATAATTTTGAGATTGAAATGATTTGGAATTTTATTGAGTTACAGTAATACATCTTCATAAGTTCTGAAACTCTTCATGATTTTGACAAAGAGAACTGAAACTTCAAACTTATTTGTAGCTTTAGAATTTACTTAAACTAGTTAACTGATGAAAAATATCCATCAAATTTTAACTCAAGAGGACTCATTTGATAAGGTGATTGATTGTTGTCTATCTTGCCAATTAAAAATCAATTTCAACAAGTCATATTAAGATAACAAGTGTTATATGAAGTTACAATTATTATTCATATCAAAAAAATTCAATTATTTATTGATATAATTATTTTATATAATTTATTGCTCTATTAGAAACAATAACAGACTTGCCAATGTTTTTAATTTACAATGTTTTCTTAATGTTTCAAAACAATAAAGTTAAGACATTCAACATTGACTTGAAAACACTTGCCAACTTCAGTTTAGTTTCAACATTCGTCGGTTACAGACGCGATTCTTGATCAACGTTCATTTTTTAAAAAAAATATAGTACAATCAGCTGATTAACGATAAGGGCATTAATGTGATTAATATATAGAAAGAGAATTTGCAATAACGATAAGGAGACTTTATATAAAGAAAATTCGAGTGTAAGCGTTTAAAAAAAACTCAAATGAGAAATAAATTTGGATTTTAATGGTCAATTAAATTGAATTAGCCTTCGCAAAAACGATACAGATTGAGAATTCAGACAGGTAGGTGGACGAAGCAGCATTTCTCAATACTTATAAAGAAATATATTTCAATAATTAAGAAAAACAAACTAAAATGGAAATTGTGAAGTAAATTAAAAAATCTGTGTGAAATCGAAAAACAACATAAATATGCAATGCATAAATATTCATGATCAAACTGGCTATAATCAACAAGTGATCAAGTGATTGTCCCATTTCTCTTTCTTTCTTCCACGTCTTCCTCGTGAGCGCACGTGAAATGGGCACAAAAGTGAGGAGAGAAAAAACAAGTTAATAGATATCAAAGGAGTACATAAGTTCACAGTCTGTCCAGATTGACGCATTTCTCCCCTTTCAAAAAATATAAAAAAAATTCTGTTTAAAATGATATAATTGGCTTGATTATGTTTTAGGATTCGAACCTTCAACTTTTCAAAGTGAATTAAATTTTTAATGCAATGTTGTAATTATATTCAGCATAATGAGTTACACATCTCTATTAGAAATCTATTACTTAATTCTGTATGATAAGTTTAAAGCAGATATGTCATAACTAGACTAGAGTCATAAATTCTGTCTGAAACTATGCAACATGTTTGTGATGAAGTGAGCGGATCCTTAACGAATTTTATTTTCCTCATAATCAAAACTCCTTTCCCCATTTCAATATCTTTCCAGAAGGCAAAGTTAAACCATCTAAATGTCACATGATGCATAATTTCACTCAAAAATCCAACTCTCGAAACTAAAACCATGAAAAATTGTCAATCCAACTAAGCGATCCAAAGAATTATTTGCTTCATTACTTGGCTCTTTTGTGTCGATAGTGAAAAGTGAACAATGTACCGAAAAAAAACAGACAATTTCTTTTCTTTATTCACATTTTTTCTTCTTCTTTCCAATATTTGTTGTTTAATCATTAGTGGAATTTTATAATATAAAGCAATAGAAATAAATGAGACATACACAAAAATGTTGAAAGAAGTAGAAGGTGAATGGAATTTTCATTTCTTCATGTCTTATTTTTTCGTGTATGTGCACAATTTATATTGTTTATGACTTTCATCTAACTTTACAATTTTTCCTGCAGTTAATAAGTACTTTTTTTTTGTTTCCATATGTGCATATATGCTTTATACTTATTCGACTGACGAATGAAGAAATGTTTCTTTTTGTAGCTGGCAAATCTCAAACAATTTCTTAAATTACTATGTGCCTGAACATTTGAAAAGAAGAATGAGTCAAAAAGTCAATGTTTTCACATATTTTTTGCGGAGATGAACAAAACGCATTATTGTTTTATAACTGAATACTTTAGTGACGTGCTTGTGTCAAAATAATAGAAATTATCTGTGTATATTCATCTTGTTCATTGAGTCTTTGGAAATATCATTATCGTCAGTAATTTTAATTTCATGCAGCACAAGCTGTTAATGCAAATTACTTGTTTTTAGGGTAATGACTTGTGCTCATTGTTCTTTAGTTCTATGAGTTGATACGACATTCATTCATGAAGTTCGCTGGATAATTTCTTACAATTCACAACTTTCTGAAGATTCCAAAAACCGATCCCTAATAGTTTCTTTTGTCAGATTTAGATTGAGGGAATACTGCCTTATAACTACTTTCATTCTAAACTAGAATTTCTATTTCAAATAATGTTTTTTGTATTTAAATGAGCCTCTTTAAATGATGGATCTCAATTTAAGTTACAGATATGTGGTCCATTTTTAGATATTCCAAATTAAATCTCGAACAGGAAATACTTTTTAATAATAAGCCATCTATATTCATTCGATTCATTTATTTACGGATTATTAACTTTGGATGTTCATTGAAAAATGTGATTTTCGAACTAATATGTATCAATGATGTCAATCTGATCTAATATGTCTTGTCCCTTTTGCTACAGAATATTTTCAATATTATATCATACGCAAATGACGTCGAAAACTTAAGAATATGCAATTCTTATTTTTTCATGATTTTAGGTGACAAATAATCATGGTTTTTTGCATGACATTGTGATTCTTTATTCCGTATTAATTAAACATGATTACTGCAAATGCATGCCAGAATTCCTCGAAATATTATCTATTTTTTTTGGGATCATTTATAAATCATGTCATACACGAAAGAAAGTATCAGACAATTGTGATAATTCTTTCATTCGATTCTACATACTTATTAAGAAGGTTAGTGTCTCCCATTAGACTTTTTCAAGGCGTTTAAACTCAGGATTAATCCTGAAAATTTAAACTTTCTGGAATCTTACTTCGAGACAATATCGAACCCTTTGAGACATAATCGAATCCCACTTGATATTCCTAATCTATTCACTAGCTAAAAGATATTTCTTAACATAACAAAACATCAGAATAATTAAGATTATATCCGATACAGTTTAACTTTCTTCTTCTGTTATTTTTAACCATAATTAAAAGCCTTATCCCGAGCGGCACAAGGTGGCAGGTGTCAGTCATATGACTGTTATATGATCGTTTTGAAATGGCAGAAAACAGTTATATGACGATTATTTGGTAGCAATTATATGACAATTTTATAAAACTGTTATATGACTGCCATGTGACTGCCATGAGAATAAATTAATTACAGTTACCATTGATTTTTGAAAAATTATGAAAAGCATTCATTTGAAATTGTGATTTTAAAGTGAAAAGTTCATTTTGTTGTTACTCTTTCAATTATTAATTTAACTTTGTACGCAATTGCTGACGGATCAGACGGAATAAATGTCATTCCTGAAAAGTGAATGAGGGAGATTAAATTGTGGGAATAGTTTATCCACGAAGGAATGGTTCGAAAGATCATTTAAAAACTGTCAAGAAACAAAAGGATCCACAGGACAATTGGGAAAAAAATGAAGTCACCGTATTGAAAAAAGGAATCGGTATGTTATGTATAGTTTTTTTTTTTTAAATTCTAAAAGGCTTAGTAAATTTTAATTTATTTTAGAATCTTTTGAAGCAGCCATTAAATCGATGCAGACCCGACAGAAGTATTCAAACACAGAATCTGAGCTGGAAAAATTTAACAATAAAATATTATTATAAAAGTTCAAAAATAAACACAAAATTCAAACCCCTAATATTTTGTAATTTTTTAAAATTGTTTAAATTTATATTTCAGCCTATAAAATTGCCATATAATTGATATAAAATTGCCTTAAAACTGCCATCTCATTGCCATATAATTGCCATTTAACTGAAATTTGATAAAAGCACTGCCATCTGTGCCTGTCATAAAACTGTCTAGAAACTGTCATATAACAGTTTCCGGTTTGTGTCAATTTTTATTGATGGCAGTCATATGGCAGTCATATGGATTACTTTATCATACTATTTGGTTGACATATCGTCAAAATCGATAGCAATTATCTGTCATATGACTGCCATAAAGCAGTTTTTATTGCCATCAAACGATGGCAATTGACACGTGGCAGCTGACATATGACAGTCATATGACAGTTATATGACACCTTTGTGCCGCTCGGGTATGCTTTTAACCTGTCCATCAAAAATATCAGGAAGAAGTGGAAATTGAATCACTGACATTTAGAATACTAATTGAAATAATATTGATCCTTTGCCAATGACTGCAATTATTCAATCCTCAATTGAATATTAATTTACAATCCTTCAATAATAATATTCAATATCTAACAATAATATCAATGTCGATTTCTTTGTGAACTTTTGGACATGAATCATTTTGTTCGAACATGTTAGTGCACACCCAAATAGCAGCATAAAGTGGTTGAAATCACATAAAGTCTGCAGGAGGTTAAAGTATTGCGATTTCTAAAAATTTCTATTATTGTAAGTCAAACTGACTAGATTTAGACTTACCAAGATCAGTTAAAAGATAAATGAAAGAAAATTCCAGAATTATAGTGCCATTAGTCTGCTAAAATAGGGAAAGAATGTTTATATACTGCTGATCGATGTGTATGACTAATACCCGCGATACACTTACGTACATTCTAAAAAAATATTATTCAAAAAGAAGAAAAGAAATGAAATACACAAAAAAAACCTGTTTCTTGTGAATGTGTTATTCGGGCCGATCCTATTTGACTCATTCTCGTGATATTCTCGAGGAGGCATGATCAACAAAGAGAGAATGAAAACAGAGCTAAATAAAAATAAATACAGATGGTTTTGCTTGGAAGTTCAAGTGTACAAATACAAACGTTACATTGCGAATTATGAAATAATTTTAAGGGGATAGATATATACTTACGAAAGACTGGTTTTATAGCCGTTTCAAATTACAAACACATTGCGGCTATCTGACATATTTCCGTTATCATATCGGTGTCATTAAAGCTCTTATCAACTTCCTTAAAATTTCATACGATTTTCTATACAAAAAAAAAAATGAAATAATTTTTTTTTCATTTTAACAAAGTATGACTAGGCACGCTGAGCAACCTGACTTAATATATTTTTTTGTTATCAGCATTTGTGATGAAACATTGACTGAATGCTTCAATGTTCATCAAGCGTGGGTGATTGTTTTGTTTGTAAACAGAAATAAATGCGTTGCTTCGCATGCCATGCCAGACCTTCTTCTTCTTCTTATTTGCCGCTAACAAAGCATTTTTTCATGTATGGTATTAACTTAATTAAAAAATGATGATGAGAATAAAATTATTAATTTGAATGTTAGAAAAAAAGCTATGTTCAATTTATAGTTGGATGTACTTCAAGCGGAAAAACGTGATTTGCATAAAGTTTTAGCAAAAAAAAATCTAAATCATATTATTCCGGTGTGCAGGTTCTTATGATTTAAAATATCAGCAAAAATAGAAAAATTTAATCAAGATATTAAATCAACACAATTAAATTGAGATTCGAACTCAGATTCGAAACATGAATTTAACATTTTACAAAATTCTGTTTTATTCTTTAAAGAATAAGTCGCTAAAAGCAATAAAATTATGTGAAACCTTTACAAAAAGACATGCGCTTAGAGTTCAGTATATCCAAACAACTTCACATTTCTAACTTAGCTACTTCTTTTTTGTTTTCCACAAATACTAGAAATTTATTCACAGGAAAAGTAATAAATAATTAAACATAATGTAATTTCGTATTTCCAGCATTCTTTAATAGATTTTTTTTTGTTGCAACTATTGCGATCTTCTTCCTCTACTTCGCACATACAATTGATCTACACATCAAGCGAACCGAATCATGGCAGACTCACCAACAGGTCGCAAAAGTAGTATTCCCATATTAAAGCAGACCAACAAAACAAAATCATTTCAATCATACGTGAATCTACATTTAAATGAAGAGTTGAACAACGAGCAGCAAAAGAGTCGATCGCCATCAACGTCGCCAACTGAAAATGTACATCCAAAATTGCCATTGAATAGAGCTCAAATGAAACAGAACCTTCCAAAATTGGAAATTGACAACGATATCGTTATAACGAAATTGTGTGATGAAAATAAACGTTTAAAAGACCATCAGACTCAATTGATATCTAAATATGAAGAAGGTAAGGTTGACTTGTTCTTTTTGCGATAAGTTATTGCTGTCTTTTTTTGGGGTCACAAAGCATTGACCATGTTGAGCGTGAATATCAAGTAAGGAAAATTGAATTGTTTGATTATTGGCTGTGTTTGGAATTCTAAGGAAATTATTGACTCTCATTTGTTATGTTAATTTTTACTAGAGTGCATATTAATTTTAAATTAGCTTCTACAATCTTTGAGATGGTTAAAATCTTTATTAAATCATATGTAGATTGTGAAGAAATGTTCAAGAAAGTTTTAAAATCTTTTTTGACGAATGCTTTTAACAGCAGATCGAAAATAAGTCTGAGAGGAGTTGAGTTCGATTCCCTTTAATCATGTACAGTTCAATTCCCGATTAATGTGCCTAGCGACTATTTGACAAATAATCTCAACCCTTGTTCAAACTTTATTATTGTAACACTTCCAAAACAATTCACAGTACTCCAAACTCAATAAAACGCGCTCATTCATCATCCAGTTTCTATAACAATTCTTCCCAAATTTTCTTTCCTCATTCCGCATTGCCAAATTAGCATTACGTGAAAATATGGAAATACAAAACAAGAATGATGAGTTACAACGGGAACTGACGCATTTGAGACGAGATAATGCCGAAAAATTGCATTTGCAAAAGACTATTGAAAAGTAAGTGGAAGAAGCATAACAGGAAATTAATGGAACCATTTATGGAATTTACTTTTTCTTTATTTATGTGAATTTTCCAGTTTGCAGAAGCAACAAATTGACATGGTTGAGAAGAATAAGAAGCTACAAAAGAAATTGGAAGAGATTTTACCTGAAAGCATTAAGGATGAAGGTAATTTTTAATGTTTATGACTGCATTTTGTACTTTAAAAGCAATAAATCCATTAAAATTCCACAACTTACAATATCTCAATTATCAAAACAAATTCCAGTGTCCTTTGAGTCATCAAGAGGTTTAATAAACAGCGGCTCAAGTTTAGATTTAATGATGGAACTTGAGAAATTGAAATCTTATCTAAACAATGTTGAGTTACAGCTATATGAGGCAAATGAACACATTTCAGATCTTCTCGAAAAGGTGAGATTCACTTAAAATTTCTTATGCTTTACAGTTTGACTAGAGATCATCGATTTTAAATGATAATCACTTAATTAGACAATTTTTGGGGATTTAAAAATAAATTTACAAGCTGAAAAATTCTTTCGTCTATAAAATCTTAAGTGTGGTGCTTTGCTTAAGAGATTATCAGCATTAAAACAGAAGCTTGTGAATTATTCTTAAGCTGTTAAGCAGCAAAACGAGTTTTGCTTCTTTCACTAAGAAATTACGCAAGATGGATGATGGTTTAAATGTTAGAGATGGTCCAAATTAATCAGGGATTACGTCTATGGATTAAATTAAGTTGGATTAGATGTGAAACGACTGATCGATTAAGCAATGCATCTAACTTAGCATGAATGTATTATTTATACAGTAAAGTCAGAATTAGTTTATTTTTGAGTAAGACAAAGAATTTTGAATGATAAAATTTAAGTTTTAAGTGATGCACATCAAGTAAAACATCACTTAAACCTAGAAGATTAACAACTTAAATTACGAATAAATGACAACACATTACAAAGCTATAAAAAAAGCTTGGCTTGTGGCTTTGTAACTCATAAACATAAAATTACTCATCAAAATTTCTAAATGTTTTCACAAATTCCCACAGAAACAAGAACTGGAAGCTGACAATCTTACACTCAAATCAGAAACTGCCGAACTTAAAAATCTCACAAAATTGATGCAAGCAAATATGTATGAGACATTAAGCACCAGTAAAAGGTAACAAGAAATGTTTTTAATGAGTAAATGTTATTCCAGCAGCAATAATCATCATAATAAAAGTTATGGACTCTAATTCTTCTTCTCTTTCTTTTGCCACAGAATGGAAGAAACTTTCTTGCGCGTTAAATTAGAACGCGATGAACTGATTAAAAGACACAATCGAGATTCGACTGATGGCAAAGCAACAACCGTAACGGAAGAAATTGCCAATCTGAAAACGGAACTGAAGCGACAAAAGGCTCATTATGAGGCACAATTTATAGAATATGTGAGTAATGCATTTTGAATGTTGATGATAGACACATATGTGATGAATATTTCATGAAGATTTTCTTTTAATACAAGTTTGATGATTGTGTAATTTGGTACACGAAAGTATGTGATTTATACTGAATGTAATTATGACAAATTTAAAGAGCTTTAATCAAAGTTTCTTTAATAGTGATGCGAACTAGCTTCCTGGTTTCTTGACAGAGTTGGCATCTGGGAATCTAATTAAGATTCCAAACCTTGGTTAAACAGATACGAACCCTTCAATTTAATCAGACCTAGTCTTATTTCCTGGTTCAGGTATAGATAGGTTTCATACTGACTGCCAGTTTTTGAGTTTAAGATTGAGATTTAATCTGTAATGACTGACGTTCTGTTCTAAGTAAGACCAAGTCATGCTTAACTTGAGCTTGGTGTATGTCTCTATCAGATGATCAACTCTGCTTTCAATTACTTGAAAAGTTCACTTTCTCACATGATATTGCAAAATTCACTTCTCGTGAGATTCATCAAAGATCCACAAACTCGTTATGCTTGGGGTTCGTTCACTTATTACGTAACGCACTAGGGGGGGAGGGGGGGTCTAAGATTTTGTTACGGTTTGTTACAGGGGGAGGGGGGGGGGGTCTAAATTTTGTTACGTAACTTTTCAAAAAATATATTTTTTTATAATTTTTTCTATATTAATTTTAAATTTTAAAGGAAGTATAATAAACATTTGATAAACAATTTAAATGAAAAAAATTATTGTTACGTTATGGGGGGGGGAGGGGGGGTCTAAGATTTTGTTACGCTTTGTTACAGGGGGGGAGGGGGGGTCTAAAAATTCGTTTTTTTGCGTTACGTAATAAGTGAACGAGCCCTTGAGACTTATTATATATTAGCGGAAAAAGTGCTAAATATTATTAATTATCGTGATTAAATCGACTGTGGGTATTAATTATATAAATTCAATGTTGAAACTGTCACGTGTGCTGCTAGGAACACGATTTTTCAGAAATCTTCTTTGCAATCAATTTAAAGCCGTTCCTGACAGCTCACTTCAATCAGATTTTCATACTTTAATGCGATTAAATTAAATAAGTTTATTGAACTTTCCAGCGACAAGTTCTTGTTCATTAAAATAAAATTACATCAATGAACCTACATGATTGTCAAATTTTTAATTCTCTAGCTACACGAGCTAGTACGAATGTAGATCAAAAGAAAAATCTTCATGGTGTTCTATCCAAATTTAATTATAGACATAAATAAATTTTTAATTGGTTACGGATTAAGTTGTGGATATGAAGCACAATATAAAATATTTTTTGACACTTTTTTTACTACTTTTTTTTAATGCTATTCTGGTCTAGTGGATATAGTGTAACTCAATCGTAATTAAAATGTGGTGGATAATTGAATTAAACGGTTACTGGATGATTGACAACTTCTTGTCTTTAATTTCCCGTGTTTTTATGAATGGAACATCTTGGAATGCTTTGATATCCATTGAATGTGAAAGTGTGTGTGTAGGAACGTCTAGCGGCATCGAAAAAAACCAAGTTTATTGCTCTTTATCAGTTTTAAAATTTATCGTATCAAATATCGATTACGACAAGCTTTTCGATGCTATGTGTCGATTCTACATGCTCAAATTCTTAACCATTTAATTCAGTCATTCACTCAGCATGTATATAATTTAACAATCGTAATTAACATGTTAAAAATCCTTAATCCCACATAATCAATCACATCCACACACTAAATAAAATAATGGAACTACAGAAGCAGAATGTAGAAAAAGAAATGGAAGAGCGAATAAATTCGGAAGTCGAGTCTCTAAAAATTCAAGTACAACTTCTCGAGATCGAATTAGAAACGTCAAGGAATCGAGCTGAGAATGCAGAAGAGGAGCTTCGACAATTTAAGGCAACAATAAGACTTAGTGCTAAAATGGATTTTACAGCTACAGATTCTGAAATTGAGAAACCAAAAATGGTTCCTCCTCCTCCTCCTCCTCCTCCTCCACCCCCACCGATGTTCGATTTCGGAACTCAAGTTACAATTAGATCAAGGTCGAATTCACAGACTGAACAGTCACTAAGTGATGCCATCAGTAATGCTCAAAATACATTAACTAATACAAGTTCTAGGAAAAATATGAAGGCATCAACAGGTAGGATTATTCTGTTTTTAGGTTGAGGATTTAAGGTTTTGGGGAAGTAGAGTTTTGATAAATGTAAATAAGGGTCCTCGGTTTGAATAATTGTATAATATTTTGAAATAAGTTGAAGTTTTGAGTCACGAGTCATGACTTCAATTCTAAAATTAATCAAAAATATTTCGTGCCTTTGTTCATTGACAGTCAATTGATTAAATATATTGTATAAAGAAGAACAAATGCTCATCATAGATATTTATAAACTCGTGTCAATTCCATGCATGGAGAATCAATTTTACTTCTTCGTTTTCATAACAATTCAAGCTTATTGACAAATTGTTGCCATTTATTTCAATTAAACTTTTATTTTCATTTCAAATCATTTTCCACTCTCTCTTATGTAAGGAACTTAATTGCATGAATGCTTGTCTTGTTGAGTAAAAAATTAATTCTTTGCACAATTTGAGGGGGCAATAAATGCAATAAAATATCTTGCTAAATGCAGTTACGGAGAGACTACTAATGAATTTTGAAAGATTGAAAGATGTGAGCGTAAACGAGTTATTCGACTGGACATCTGCATAATCAAATTGATTATTTTAACATTTTTGATCGAAATTTCGCTTTCTTTCTTTTGGAATCTTTGATTTTGTGATCTTAATGAGTGGAATCTCAACAGAAAAAATAAATAAAAACTTCCTCTAACATAAGAAAGGTCAGATTCTTAATAGGTAGTTATGCGGTTTAAGCTTACGTTAGTCATCAATACTTGAATACTTATTCAGCTGAATGCAGATGTTCATTTGTTTTAATGTCAATTTACAAGCTGTAAAAGCATCGTCATTCAGAATGATTTTGTAGATTATTCTATTTCTGGATTGATCATTTTAAGGTGCTACTCTTTCGTTTAGCCGAGTTCAATTTTTTGCACTTTTTCCTTTCTTAACCCCTTTTCCCAAAATAGTTGTTTTTTGTGTTTATTACTAACAACTAGTCTGTTATAAAAAACAATAACAACTTACAGCTAGTTGTGTAGTTAATTAAATTTTTTAAAATTTTTGAAAATTACAACAACAACATTACTCATTCGTTTAGCCGAGCTCTGAAAATTATTAAATTTTGATCAAATTAACAAGTTTAACCAATGTTTTTTGATTCTAAGCTGTAACATAACATGCAATGATACTTAATTATACTTAATATCAGAATGAAAATGCTTAATTAAGCTACAATCATATTCACACAAAATTTTCAATTTTTGTGAATATATTGTTTTTGGTTTTACAGAAAATCAGTTTTTTTAACTTGCTGCTTCAGTCTTACCGAATCACTCCATAAGTCTGATATGTAAAAGTCTGTGCCTCGAAATACCTATCGAATGGTAAAAACTGCATCTTATTTCGTGCTTCCAGTTCCGCGAAATCGCCAAAAAAGGCATTCTGTTAGTTAGTTAGTTAGTTATTCGGAGCGATAACTCAATTTAAACTCAATATCAAGCCTTAATGTTACTTTTATCTGATAGATATTGGGTCATAGATTTGCTGTATAGTTTTTGGAGTCATAAGATGCTTCCAGTGAGGCACAAGATGCAAAAAACTATCATTTTTTGGCAAATTATAACCGATTATTCCAAAACACATTTGTTTACATTCATACAACAGAAAATATTTGTTGGTATAAGTGTGATATTAATAAAATGGTTGTGACAGTATGCATTAAGTTAAATGTATGTGAAAAAATGTTGGAACTAGCAAGTTCCTTCAGCATACTGTACCTATGTCTTTAAATACAAACTTCATTTGTATCATAATGAAAATATTTTTTTTTGCAATTGGAATTTTTTTTTTTGGTATGATTCTTAATTTTTTTCCTGCTCGATTATTTTGTCTTTGTTTCAAACAGGCTTATACTTACTGGATCTTATTTCCAACGACAGCACAATTTCAATTTTACTTTCACAATGTCTGTGAAAGTGTGTTAAATACGTGTGAAATAATTGAATTAATTTTCCACAATGATTTTTCACTTTCAACAAATTTTCAAAGTTCACTACGAACTTTTTCTTATCTTAATTATAAAATTGATTGAAATTGTAATTGTCAAAGCCTACTTATATCTTTTTCTTATTTCTTAATTATAAAAAAAATTCAAATTGAAATTGTCAAAGCCCACTTGTACTTTTTCTCAAACTTTACTGGATCTTGATTTTAAGTTTCAGACATGCTTAAAACTTTACTGGATCTTGGTTTTAAGTTTCGGACATGCTTAAAACTTTACTGGATCTTGGTTTTAAGTTTCAGACATGCTTAAAACTTTACTGGATCTTGGTTTTAAGTTTCAGACATGCCTATAACTTTACTGGATCTTGGTTTTAAGTTTCGGACATGCTTAAAACTTAACTGGATCTTGGTTTTAAGTTTCGGACATGCCTATAACTTTACTGGATCTTGGTTTTAAGTTTCGGATATGCTTAAAACTTAACTGGATCTTGGTTTTAAGTTTCAGACATGCTTAAAACTTTACTGGATCTTGGTTTTAAGTTTCAGACATGCTTAAAACTTTACTGGATCTTGGTTTTAAGTTAAGACATGCTTAAAACTTTATTGGATCTTGATTTTAAGTTTCATACATGCTTAAAACTTTACTGGATCTTGGTTTTAAGTTTCAGACATGCTTAAAACTTTACTGGATCTTGGTTTTAAGTTTCAGACATGCTTAAAACTTTACTGGATCTTGGTTTTAAGTTTCAGACATGCTTAAAACTTAACTGGATCTTGGTTTTAAGTTTCGGACATGCTAAAAACTTAACTGGATCTTGGTTTTAAGTTTCAGACATGCTTAAAACTTTACTGGATCTTGGTTTTAAGTTAAGACATGCTTAAAACTTTATTGGATCTTGATTTTAAGTTTCAGACATGCTTAAAACTTTACTGGATCTTGGTTTTAAGTTTCAGACATGCTTAAAACTTTACTGGATCTTGGTTTTAAGTTTCAGACATGCTTAAAACTTTACTGGATCTTGGTTTTAAGTTTCAGACATGCTTAAAACTTTACTGGATCTTGGTTTTAAGTTATAGACATGCTTAAAACTTTACTGGATCTTGGTTTTAAGTTTCAGACATGCCTATAACTTTACTGGATCTTGGTTTTAAGTTTCGGACATGCTTAAAACTTAACTGGATCTTGGTTTTAAGTTTCAGACATGCTTAAAACTTTACTGGATCTTGGTTTTAAGTTTCAGACATGCCTATAACTTTACTGGATCTTGGTTTTAAGTTTCGGACATGCTTAAAACTTAACTGGATCTTGGTTTTAAGTTTCAGACATGCTTAAAACTTTACTGGATCTTGATTTTAAGTTTCAGACATGCTTAAAACTTTACTGGATCTTGGTTTTAAGTTTCAGACATGCTTAAAACTTTACTGGATCTTGATTTTAAGTTTCGGACATGCTTAAAACTTTACTAGATCTTGGTTTTAAGTTTCAGACGTGCTTAAAACTTTACTGGATCTTGGTTTTAAGTTTCAGACATGCTTAAAACTTTACTGGATCTTGGTTTTAAGTTTCAGACATGCCTATAACTTTACTGGATCTTGGTTTTAAGTTTCAGACATGCTTAAAACTTTACTGGATTTTGATTTTAAGTTTCAGACATGCTTAAAACTTTACTGGATCTTGGTTTTAAGTTTCAGACATGCTTAAAACTTTACTGGATCTTGGTTTTAAGTTTCAGACATGCTAAAAACTTTACTGGATCTTGGTTTTAAGTTTCAGACATGCCTATAACTTTACTGGATCTTGGTTTTAAGTTTAGACATGCTTAAAACTTTACTGGATTTTGATTTTAAGTTTCAGACATGCTTAAAACTTTACTGGATCTTGGTTTTAAGTTTCAGACATGCTTAAAACTTTACTGGATCTTGGTTTTAAGTTTCAGACATGCTTAAAACTTTACTGGATCTTGGTTTTATGTTATAGACATGTTTAAAACTTTACTGGATCTTGGTTTTAAGTTTCAGACATGCCTATAACTTTACTGGATCTTGGTTTTAAGTTTCGGACATGCTTAAAACTTAACTGGATCTTGGTTTTAAGTTTCAGACATGCTTAAAACTTTACTGGATCTTGATTTTAAGTTTCAGACATGCTTAAAACTTTACTGGATCTTGGTTTTAAGTTTCGGACATGCTTAAAACTTAACTGGATCTTGGTTTTAAGTTTCAGACATGCTTAAAACTTTACTGGATCTTGGTTTTAAGTTTCAGACGTGCTTAAAACTTTACTGGATCTTGGTTTTAAGTTTCAGACATGCTTAAAACTTTACTGGATCTTGGTTTTAAGTTTCAGACATGCCTATAACTTTACTGGATCTTGGTTTTAAGTTTCAGACATGCTTAAAACTTTACTGGATTTTGATTTTAAGTTTCAGACATGCTTAAAACTTTACTGGATCTTGGTTTTAAGTTTCAGACATGCTTAAAACTTTACTGGATCTTGGTTTTAAGTTTCAGACATGCTTAAAACTTTACTGGATCTTGGTTTTATGTTATAGACATGTTTAAAACTTTACTGGATCTTGGTTTTAAGTTTCAGACATGCCTATAACTTTACTGGATCTTGGTTTTAAGTTTCGGACATGCTTAAAACTTAACTGGATCTTGGTTTTAAGTTTCAGACATGCTTAAAACTTTACTGGATCTTGATTTTAAGTTTCAGACATGCTTAAAACTTTACTGGATCTTGGTTTTAAGTTTCAGACATGCTTAAAACTTTACTGGATCTTGGTTTTAAGTTTCAGACATGCCTATAACTTTACTGGATCTTGGTTTTAAGTTTCGGACATGCTTAAAACTTTACTGGATCTTGGTTTTAAGTTTCAGACATGCTTAAAACTTTACTGGATCTTGGTTTTAAGTTTCAGACATGCCTATAACTTTACTGGATCTTGGTTTTAAGTTATAGACATGTTTAAAACTTTACTGGATCTTGGTTTTAAGTTTCAGACATGCTTAAAA